TCCACTCTTTTGGGAAGGTTTCTACAACATTTTGAAGTGTATCTGTGGAAATGCGTACTCATTCAGACAAAAGAACATTTATGAGGCCAGGTACTGATGTTGTACGAGGAGGCCTGGTCAGCAATCCCCATCCAATTCAGCCCAAAAGTACTCAATAAGATTAAGGTCAGGGCCCTGAGCATTTAAGTTCTTCGTGACTTTGTGCACTTGAACTCAATGTGCACTTGAACTCAATAATTTGGAGGGGTGTTGACCTACCTTTGGTCATATAGTGTACAAGAGAGCCCATCAGGACAGTGTCACAGAAGCTGAGCTTTCAGTATAGGAAAGTGCAGATAGATAAAGTAAGGTAAAAGCAGACGATTAGATCTGTTGGAATTTTAAGTGGTGCACCTGATGCTGGTACCATTATATGACAAAGAGGGGAAGAAAAGTGAGAGTTGCTCGACACAGCACCTGCAGAAGAGGTGGTATCCTGCCAAAATAGCATGTCCACATGGTAATAATGGTGGGAAATACATAATGGTAAAATCTGTATGACTAGAAAAGTCACTCTATCCTAATCCAATTTTCCCCCTGGTCTAAATAAAGCATTTTCAGTTTATGGAGGGGAAGACCCAAGGAACGGGATCTGCAGGATGATAGCTTCATCTGTTCATAATAGCTGTTATCTGTAGGGGAACATTAGCAATCCAACAGAGTAACCTGCCCAAATAATTTGTCAGCTGGGCTGCCTGAGGGTACCACAAGGATGATATGGTCACGCATACTGTCCGTTTTCATTAGTAAACTCTTGCCTGTGTTACAAGACTTCATCTCCAAATTCACCTCTCTCATGAAGGTTTTGTTCTCCATCTCAATGAGTTCAAATACAGCTATAAGCTCCCCAGCAGGAGTCTTTCCCTTGAAGATGTCAAAGAACTGCAAGGTGGGTTGGCCGTATTTAAACCCTGCGTCTTCTGCCTCCTCTTCATCCAGTAATGTCACGATGGGTGTTGCAAATGCGCGGCCAAGAAAATCAGGTGCCCCCTACAAAATATTACAAAGCAAGAAACACCCTTAAAATTATACTAGAAATCTTTAGGCAGGAAAAGCAGGCTTTCTTCGTTTTAAAGATAAACGCCATACAATTACAATGTACAATGTAATACAATGTAATTAATTTACCTTTCTTTATATACAATTCTTATTATCCTCTACACACCAGCTGAAAATTCAGATTATCCTGTCACAATGGAAGTGCCTGTAGTTTCTGCTACAGGCACTTCCATTGTGAGTCTTTCTGCAGTCTCTGTCCTCCTGCTCTGGTCATGTTTTAAGCAGGCATAAACATGCTGGGGAGATATTAAATCATGCTATAGGATTCAGACAAAAATAGGCATATCCACAAAGAGAAATAACTACAGGCTTAGAGAATGTAGTCTCAGTCTTAATATTAAATACATACCCCCCCCCCCCCCTGTAATGTGCTATAAAGTAATATTAAATAATTTATTTTACAAAAATAACAAGCATCAATATGTTAAAAATAATGCATGTCAACTCAAGTGCATTTAATGCACATCAATGCACACTAAACACAATGCAAGTGGTGTGGTTTATGATAGAACCAAGGTTAAGCTGCATCAGAAAAGAAAGATATCCCCCATTATACCTCCACAAACTGTTTTCTTCTTAAACTGGGGTATCTTTATATAGACACAGTAAACTCTGAGCTAACAGTTGGGAAGAAAGCATTATCAAGGCAGATATGGGAGACCAGCAGTGTGTACTTACAAACTTATCTTGATCATAAATATTAATAATGATAAGAGGTGGATCATTCCTTAGGTTTTCCTTATTCCCATCCATCAGTATATTGTCATAGATGAGCAGTTCATTCCACATGGGCGCCAGAGTTTCATTAATGATCTGCAGAAACCAGAAACCAGAACCTTGGTGATGTAAACAGAATGGGCCCTGCTGCCACCTTTACTAGAGTAAGTTTCCTTATAGGAGGGAGTACATGTGTAGGGAGGGTTTATTTTTAGTGAATATATTTTCTCTTCCCTTAACTTTTCTTAATCTGCAAGCCCCAAAATATATATATATATCAGGAAATATATATATTAGGAAATAAAGATGTACAGGGTTATTCACAGAAGGGTGAAGAGTTTGGAGAAGACAAGAGAAGTGAACAATCTAGGACAACATAGCTGATTGGGAAACAATCTTTAATTCAGCTCACTTTCCAGTTCAGCTATGTTGTATTAGATTGTTCACTTCTCCTGCCTCCTCCAAACTCTTCACCCTTTTTTGAATAACCCTGTTAATATTTACATGTAAAATAGGTTGAATTGGGTGGGGGTGTCTAACATATTTTCTCAGGACGTATCACTGCATTGTATTGGTTCATACAGTAAATAGGACCAACAGTAATATTAAGTTAAAATGTAATACAATGAACATTGGAATGCATATCAAGTTTCATTATTCCATTCTTTCTTTCCTTTCTTTACTATCTTCCTCTTCTTTAATGTCCCTTCTATTCCTTTCTTTCTTTCCTTTTCTCTTTCTTTCTTTCTTTCTTTCTTTCTTCCCTTCCTTTTCTGGCTTTCCTTCATTCCCCTCCTTACTTCTCTTCCTTCTTTCTTTTCTGTTCATTCCCTTACTTACTCTTCGATCTTTCTTTTTTTTCTTTTTCCTTCCTCCTTTTTATTTTCATTCCTCTGCCTTCTCTTCCTTCCTCATCCTTCCTTACTTTTCATCTCTACCTTCATCCCCTTCTCTTGATTTCCTTTCCCTTCTCCTCCTTCCCTTCCTTTTCTTTTCTTCCTTCTTTTCCTTCTCTTCCTTTCTTTACTCTCCCTTCTCTTTCTTCCTTTCCTTTCTCGGTTTTCTTCTCCTCTTACCCCTTCTCTTCATTTCTCTTCCTTTCCTTTTCCTTCCCTTCCTTCCCCTTCACTTCCTTTCTTCCTTTTTTTTTCTTTCCTTGCATTTGCTTCCTTTCCATTATCTTCATTCCTTCCTTCCTTATTTTTCTTCTTTTCCTTTCCTTCCTACCCTTTTCTTCCTTCCATTCCTTCTATCCTTTCCATCCTCCTTTGTCTTTCTTCGATTGATATTGTCCTTCCTTACCTCCTTTCTCTTCCTCCCCTTTCCTCCTTCCTTCATTTGTTCCCTATCTTTCCTGCATTCCTTCCCTATTTCTTTCTTTCTATTTCATTCTCTTTTTCTCAGCTTTAAATCCTTACCACTGTGCTACACATTGTACTGTACTCACTTGTTGCTCTTGGTGCGAGCAACAAGTCTTATGCCTTGTTCCTCTAACTTGTGCCTCTAACTATCCCTGGGATCTTATTCCCTGCACTTGCTATTGGATCCTTGTGCCTTTGGCTTCCCTGTACCAGCTGGTATCCCTGTTTGGCGTTATCCCCTGCTTTGCTCCTTGCGCCCCTACTATAGTATTTCAGTGGTTACCTTTAGTATATTGCTGCAGACCTTAATTGCTTTCACCTGTGTGCTGTGAGTCTCTCTATACTGCCTTCTTTGCCTCACTTCTACTGTGTTTTCCCTCTCCAGCCTTTGTCTGTTTGCTTCCTCCTATTTACTTGCTTTCTTGTACTTCAATTCCATCTTACCTTCCAGTGTATCTTCCTATGCTTTGCTGTCACCCCTTTACTTCTGTGCTCCTCTCTTACCTTGTGGTTGTGTTGGATTCGTCCTTGTCTGCACACCCCCTGTGTGCATACATCCCTTTGTGCTTCTTTATGTACTTTTCTCTCTGCTATCCTGCTTCTTTGTATGCATGAGCAACGCACATCTCCTGCTTACTTTTTGTATGTTACACCTTCCTGCTCCTAGGTGTGCCTATAAGCTACTTACCCTTCCCGGGTGTCCTTGTTTAGCTACCCTCTTCAGCATACTCTGCTGTTCTGCTGTGCGTTTTGCACCTTTTGCTTGTGACTTTCTCTTTCTCTCATTGTGTGACACTGTTCCTATCTTCCTCCTCTTGGTTTCAACTTTCTTCCCTACCTGTTGTTTGTATCCAGTTCCCCGGTGCTTCTACTAGTCCTTTGCTTCTGTGTGGGTGCGCTAGAGAGCCGCAACCTGGAAGGTGTCCAGCAGCCAATCATCCTCACCACTAGAGGCTCTGTCGAATACCTGGCCCTTCTTAGATTCTGCGCCTCTAGTGCGTCCTGAGAACGCACAGACCATTAGTTCCTCTCCCTCTGTGACCAACATCCCAGATATCCCTCCTGTCTGTGACTCCTACTAACTCCTCAAACCCCAGAGCTCACATACCCTAGTGCCCCGGTCCCCAGACCGTGACACAAAGCCACCTAACAATATTGGCAGATTACTCTGTCATGCTGGAATCATGAGAATTCGCAGTTAACATATGTTTGATTCTCCAGAATATTTGCATGCAGATCTAAAATTCAGAAAATCAGGCAGTTTTGTTTTATGAATTGAAAGATTCTCTGCAGATTGCCTGATGGCTTCTTATTCTGAAAACTTGATGTTGCTCAGGCAATAAATTCTGGTTGTTTTGCCCTTTGTATCTGCCTCAGGCTGTAGTAAGTATAACATATATTCTTACCTGTGTGTTCTGACATAAACCTCCAAAAATAACTCTAGCGAATGGATCAGACAAGCCATTGTCATCGGCAGATAGTACTCCCCGAGCCTGGTAAATGTGAGCCCTCAGCTGGAAATAGCGGTAATCTACAGAGATTAAGAAGACATATTGGGACACCTTTAACCTCATTCCACCAGTTCTGCCCAAATCTTGCCTATCCACACAGCCATGCCCTTAATGACCATACCTGCATAGCACACAAAAACATGACTGTGTTCACCAAAAAAGGTGGACAGTTGGAATTATTATACTTTTACTGCATTATTATAATGTTGGTTCAGAAGACGTGCACAGTACTTTTTACATCAGTTACAATTCTAACATCGTTTAGCAGTCACTTATTTGTACTAGGGCTGATTTGGCCATACGAAAATGAACCTACCAGAAGGTGTTTGAACTGTGGAAAGAAGCACCTCCAGGAAATCCCTGTAATTACCTAGGTTAAACTTTAAAATAATACCTCTGTCCCTATGGAGCCATTTGGATCATAGCCACAGGCTGTCCAATAGGGCTTGGATTTGGTCCAGTAGATAGGAGAAAGAGCCAGAGCCTCTGCCCATTGAGGTTTTGGCCCTTGACAGTTAAAGTCTAGAGTGAGATTTTGGGCCGGCAGGGTCCCCTTCATCAGGCTCAGTAGTGACAAACTACTGAGCCTGATCAAGGGGACCCTGCGCGCCCCCGAAAGCGCTTGTCTTTATTACATTTGCCAATAAATTGGATTTACATTTCAAAGTTTTTATTGGTTTCCATAAGATAAAGCAAGTTTTAAAACAGGCTTTTTAACATATGTATCAAAAAAAAAGGAAAAACAGAAAATTCCATATTTCTCAAGTCGGCCTTGATTCCCCGCTTCCCCCCGCCCTTCAATGAACCATCAAAGCTATCACCAGAAGAGGACAAGGGGAGAACCAGTTGTGTTATTAACCTTCGACTTTACAATAATGTGAATCTCTGGATTGGAGTGGTGATAACGTTTTCCTATCTACTGTTGCATTGTGAGCGGCGCCATCCGCGGTCATTGCGAGCACCCATTATCATTGGGACAGACTGATAAGGAGTGCAACAAGGTATATGGACTTTGTATTGAATTTGGTCCAAACCTGTTGCAAGCTTTGTCCCCTCCCGGCCCAAAAATCTCACTCTGTAGACTTTAACTGTCAAGGGCCAAAACCTCAATGGGCATTTGAGGCTCTGGCCCTGGGTAGGGGAATGTCAGTGGGCAGAGATTAGTACTAGAAAGGGACAGGGCTTAACCTTAACTTGGAGAGATGTTGCACCCCATTGTAAACCCTGGGCCATGGGGCTCAACAAGGTCAAAAAGATCATATTGTAGATGATAAGTACCGATAGGCATCACAAGGAGATAAACTTCAGCAATGCTAGGCATGTTTTAGGCCAGGTCAGATTCACACTTAGGCATGTTTTAGGCCAGGTCAGGTTCACTTTAACTGTTTAAAAAGCTTGGATTTTAAATCTATTACTTTAGCTAATTTATGCTGTCATTTGAAAAGTTTTGTATTTACAAATTGCAGCTAATAGGTGGCAAGCTCTATGGAGAACCGATCTCTTTCTCGAGGGTCTTCTAACAGCTGCATGCCATAAATAAATCTGATTAGCGGGAAAGGTCAGTTGACCCAAGCTGCTAAATGACTCAGAGGACAGCTACACTGTCTGACAAAAACAAGCAGTAGGTTCTTGTGCATTTGTGAACTGGGTGTCATGGATGTACCCTTTCATTTCATTTATCTCTATAATTATATAGAACATCTCTTTTGAAACTTTAAAAAAAAAAAAATTGACCATAACATACACAAAAACCATTACAGCTTCCCCGTAAGTTAAAACTTTCTGCTGATCTACAATATAAATAACAGAATGGAACTTCTCACCATCCCGCAGAAGAAGAATTGGTGGATTGGGGGTTGGAGCCTCCACCAGTTCTCCGTTTCTGTCATAGAGGAGCTTGTAATCCTCAGGCAGATCCGCTGTGCTGTTCTTGGCATACTTCTTTACTCCCAGCCACATGTAGATTTCGGCTTTGGCAAAGATTTCACCGCTGTATGATCCTGGGATCTGATCAGAAAGAGATTCACTCTAAAATTACCTCCAATTTCTTACAGCCAAATGCTTGCAGCGATATTCATTTACCAGCATGAGTGTATGGCATGCTACAACACTAACCTATTTGCAACATTGCTTTTGGATGTTACATGCTGCTTTTTAATTGGCTGTGTACTTTTGGCCAACTAGGCAAATACTTCACTGACGTATTTATGACAGTCTATTGCACAACCATTATCAGGGTTATTCACAAAAGGGTGAAGAGTTTGGAGAAGGCCAGAGAAGTGAACAATCTAGGACAACATAGCCGAACTGGAAAGCGAGCTGAATTGGAGAATTTTTCCAAATCAGCTATGTTGTCCTAGATTGTTAATTTCTCCTGCCTTCTCCAAACTCTTCACCCTTTTGTGAATAGCCCTGTATGACTTTTTTTGGTCTTAGCCTGGCCACTGGCAGTTAGTGCCCCAGCAACAAAACTGCATGGTGTGAATGGGCCCTAATGTTCTGAGTCAGTGACTTAGAAAATACTGAAGGAATCGGATCATCATAACTAGTATTTTCAGAAGGAGAGATCAGCAACAGCAGCTTCAATACCTCTTCACTACGGGTTCCCTGTACTTTCTGCTCTTCAGGAATGTTCCATAGTGACTGAAATAAGAGATCACATCTATTTTTTTTAATAGAAGCAACATTTGTACCTTGAAGTAGATACTGGAGATCTTGCCACAGTCCTTCCCCTTCTCCTCCTCCACCACAGAGTAGAGGATGTCTTGCGCTGGAATCCGTGCATAGGCCAGTCGCTTATTATTGCTGAACATCCATACCAGAACGTCAGGTAGCGTGCACTGGGGCTGTAAGACAAGGAAACTATGCAATCCATTTACTGCTCAATACAACACAATGTAGAAAATAAAACCACAAATGACACAATGCCAGAGTTGAGTTATGTTTGCAGCTGTCAAAAAGCCCTGGTAACTTGAAGAGGAGCTGAACTCTGGAAGTTGTGCCCAAAAAAGGCAAGCAGAGGACAAACAACCACCAGTATTGCCTGTGGTCTCCCTGCAGGTGATATTTCCCCATTAATGACTTACCATGTCTTCTTCTGCACTGTTGCTCTGTGTTGAGGCGACCATCTTTGTAGTGGCAGGACGTTGTTTCCTCATGTCAGAGAATCCAGCAAAGAGAACAGTGAGGTGCACAGTAGTGAGCCTTAGATCTCACCCTGCAGATATACAGCTGTGAGGCTGTAGGCACAGTAGTGCCCAGGCACATTTACTTACCAGGATTTTTTAGGTACTGCTTAGCTACAGTTAACATTTATAAATGTTCTCTATTCCGTTTTATTTTTTCACCGTTGTATTTCCGTATTCCTGTCCGCCACTTCTCCTGAACTTGTAGTCGGACAGTACTTACTTATCACGTCACAGGAAGTTCCCCCTGTACCCCCTCTTTATGCCTGTATGTCCCATAATTCCACTGCTACCTGTGCCACTGTGCATGCATGCTCCGTCAGTCCTCATTGGCTGCCTTTGCATATCTGCACAGGTAGCATCATTGTCTGGGCTTGGAGTCTGTCTCTGCCATCAGCATGCATGCAAAGGTGGCTCCTCCTTGGGAGGCCTGGAGCCACCCTTACAAAGGAAGCTGGCGCCAGGATTGGTGGGAGAGAGTGAAAAGGCAGAAGAGGGACACAAAATATTGTAGAACAAGCTACAGGCCATGTACCCTACCCTACCCTGTCCTACCCTGAGCATGTAATACAAAATATAAATGTAATATAATCGGCTTCATTTGTAGAAGTTCCACCCAGGGTATAGCCAGGTGGATGCAGTTTGCTAGCACCCCAACTACCTCTAGCACCCCTAGATGCTAGTACCATGCATTGACGAGTATAGTATTCTCTATTCTCATCTGTGACACCTAGGGCGCTAGTGCCGTGTGACTGGCGTCTGCCCAGCTATATGCAGAGACCTTTAAATTCAGGTCCACTTTAGCATCCCTATTCTTTCATTTTTGTTAGATACTGTTTAGTATATTTTTTTATGCACTTTATAATGTTAAACTTAACATACCAGCATGTCTTTAGCATGTAGCATCCCACATAACCTCAGGAAGAACATGCAAACGCCATGCACATAATGTCCTGGTTGGGACTTGGACCAGGGATACTAGTGTTGCATGGCAAAAGGGCCAACCACTAATCCCCTAAGCGTTTCATTCTGGTCAGATGCTCTTATGTGCAAATATTATGGGCAGTAGTGAATTGAGAAAATACCACATTATGGCTTCTAAGAGCTCTGACGCTGGAGGGAATTAGCAGATAAAAGTAACGATCGATTGCCACTATGGGGACCACCTAGTGTAATACCAGGTATACATCCCCCCATGACTTTCATTGTCTTTAACCTACTTACAATATAATGAAGAATATAATAAAATATCATAAGAAATATAAGAGAATACTTCCCATCAATTTCACTTTGGTATCTTTCGTTGGGGCATAGTCAACCTATTAATAAATGATTGCTTGCTTTGCCTGCCTACACAAGTGTACACATTTGTAACATGAACAAACCTCTTTAGCCACGATCCGAACTTTTGCTAAAATCTTCCTCCCGTCATTAATCTTTTGTTTCACATTGTTCTTGGTCAGCTGGCGCCTGGCTCTCATTGCTTGTTTGGCAGCCATGATCTAGAGGGATAAAATACATTTAGGTGTTTAGGGTGGCGACAGTGACTGTAGCTGTGTGTATGCTTAGTTCCATTACAGAGGTCACTGCTATGGGGTAATAGTGTAATAATAACATTTGCTTTATGATAAAGCACGCTTCAGATGTGACATAGCTGTTAGTTTGGGAAGGGTAGGTAGGTATTGTGCATTACCTTTCTACAAATTATGTGAAGGAAAGCAATATCCAAAATAAACCTACACAATATTAGGTTATAGTGTCAGAACAATTAAGCTTGACACGAGAAAAAATAGAGTACATTTTGGCATCGGTATGCTGATTCTGGTATATTTCAACACAGATAGGTTGACCATTAATGCAGGAATGGCTAATGTGCAAATAAGGAAGTTTAGTGTTAGGGATAAGGGGGGGTTAGAGTCAGGGTTGAAGGGAAGATTAGTGTTAGAGTTGTGGAAAGGGTTAGTGTTGGGGTTGTAGGAAGGGTTAGTGTTATGGGAAAGGTTAGTCTTAAGGTTGAAGGCAGGGTTAGTGCTAGAGTTATAGCCAGGTTTTAGTTGCAGGGATGGTGTTACAGGGTTAGTGTGAGGCAGGTTTAGTGTTAGGATTGTGGGAAAGGTTAGTGTGAGGACTACAGTTATGGTCATTTTGAGAGTTACAGGGAGGGTTAGTGTTAGAGTAACAGTGAGAGTTAGTGTTAGGAAGTTCACAGGGAGGGTTAGTGTGAGGGTTATAGGGATGGTCATTGTGAGAGTTACAGGGAGGGTTAGTGTTAGAGTAACAGGGTCAAAACACGCGTTTTTGCGCATTCTTATTTTTCTTCTATTGTTCTTTTTTTACGCGTGGAATACGCGCGTCACATGTGCCACAATCTGCTCATTAAAACATGGGACTTCATAATATATGCGCGTACAACGCGTGTAAAGATATGCAAAAAAAAAGAAGCACATATTTCATGTCGCTCAGATGTGAAAGCAGGGTACAGGTAATTAAGACAGGGCTAGTGTTATGGTTATGGTGAAACTTAGTGAAGGGGTTACAGGGAAGGTTAAGGTGAGGGTTACAGGCATGGTATGTATTAGGGTTACATTGAAAGTTAACAGGGAACGTTAGCGTTAGCTTTACCGGGAGAGTTAGTGTTAGGGTTATGGGGAGGGAAAGTGCAAGGGTTACAAGGAAGGTTATTGAGAGTGTTACAGGGAGGATTAGACTTAGGGTTACAGGGAGGGTTGAGTTCCCAGGTTAGGGCTTGACACCAAAAAAAAAAAAACTGTTTCAAGTTTCTTGTGCAAGAACAAATGTATTATTTAAAGAAAATTGCAAAGATATGCATGCCCTACCTAACTTTGCTAAGGTCGTTAGAACAGTAATTTTGGTAAGCTGAGCATCATGATGAAATTGTGGAAAGCGAGAGTTGGATTAGATAGGTCAAGCTCTAGTAACAAAGTGGAACTTGGATCAGAAAGAGCACATAAGGTCATGCTCTCTGCTTTAAGGCAGGACTCCTATGTACAGTATAAACATTTAAAATAGCTTACATGTTTCCTTTAAGTTGTATTGAAAGTTAGAAGGCCAAGCGTTGACTGGTACCATAAAAAAAAGCTTCTGTATGAGATATAAGTGGGACTGTTTTCCGATTTTGCACAGAAGCCCCGTTACTTTTTCTTACATATTATTATGTAGCACTTTTCCCTGAAGACCAATGTCTCTGCTCACTATCCTCATCCTCCAGTGTGCTTTTATTCCAGTGTCTTTGGTTAAGAATTTTGTTTGTGACAATATATACATCGCAGACTTACAATATTGTGAGGAAGAGATTTTATCCTGCATTGGTCCAAGTTGTTGGGACGAGCCATGGTCCTCTTTCGAGCATTCATTGAGTACTGTCTGCAAGAGAGCAATTCAAAATTATCATTAACATGCAGCTAATATAAGTACATTTCGTCTTTGTCTTAGAAGTGTAGCAGAGAATCCTTAAAGGCTTTCAACCTCATGAAAAAGAACAATAGAACATCTTCTAACTGCCTGGAGGACCCTGCATATTCCAGTGCTCACGTACCGCCTCTAATAGCAAACTCTGGTTTTACAAGTTTGCATAACCAAATCACATAGGTAGTAATTCATCTGAGTAATAGTTTTCACAGAATCATTAACCTGCAGCCAGCCACAAATTCTTCTAGGACTTGCTTCAGACGGACTTCTGGCTTGGATTTAGGTCTCCTTGTGAGTTTATCAACCTCATCGAGTCCACGTTCCTACAGAAGGAATATGTATAGTTACTTGACAAACTCACGCCATTACCATTTTAAACTCCTGATGATAGAGGAGCAAGCAGAAGTATTCAGGAAAGCTTGCTCAAGGACAAAGCTTACAAACGATCCAGCAAACTCATGGGGGCAGCATGGCGGCTTAGTGGATAGCACCGTAACATACCCTTAAAAACAAGATCATAGGGACACATACACACGCATACACATGCAGAATCATATACAGTACATACACGCTATGGGTTGAACTTTATGGACCTGTGTCTTTATTCAACCTCAAATACTATGTAACTTCTGTCTTGCAGCACTGGGGGTCCCTGGTTCAAATCCTGATAACGGCACCATCTGCATGGAGTCTGCATTTTCTCCCTGTGCATGAGTGGGTGTCCTTCCACATGCTGGGGGTTAACACAGCATTAGTATATGTATGCCTGTGAGATAGAGACCTTCACCTGTAAGCTCCTTAAGGGCAGGGATACATGTGTAGTATGAGTCAGATTAAAATACGATGATTAGTTGTTTTGACTTGAAGCCCACCTCCAGCCAGAACCTTTGTCCTCTTCCTACAGGGAGAAGAGGATTTGAAACCTGTGTTAGGTTTTTCTTTTTATTTGTGTCCCTGATGAAGAGACCTACCCTCACTTCCTATTCCTAGAGTCACAATGGAAGAATGGGATATCTCTCTGATGGGGGCAGAAAAGTACATTGTAGAGTGGGAAGGGGTTAGAACATTTGTTGGGCTTATAGTGCTTCCCGTGTCATCCTGCTCTGGTGACACCCAAACTCTTTATTTCTAGTCCTGGTGTCACAGGACGGAAAGTTAATGGAAAGCTCCTCAGTGAGGACACAGCCAGCAATTAAAACATGAAAAGTTTTGATGCCTACCAAAAACTAAGATAAAACTTTTGACTGAAGTTGGACTTTAGATGTGGTGTTTCCTGGCATTAGCTCTATAAGTACCATTGTATTGATATCTTAGGCTTGCTCTTTAAAAGAGTGAGTACCATAAGCTAGTACTATTCCAGGTTCTGACTCTTACCAGACGCTCTGCTATCTTGATTATCCAGTTGGAGTTGCACAGTCTCCAACTGTGATCCTCCCAATGGCTCCATACATAGACACATGGCCTTTCGTTACCCAGGGGTAAGTAACTGTATGAACTATATAAACAAAAAATAAGCAGAACAATAGAGTTACATTTTCAACTTTGATTATACAAGCATTCATAAAGCAGCATATCAATTGCACACAGCCACAACTAGTCATCTCCCAGGCATAGTCCACCATTGCAAAAAATTTACACATATTAATTAAAGAAAAAAATGCACATTGATTGATTTTTTGTTTTGCATTGCAACTGTGATCAGTGGATCAGTGGATCAGGGAAAATGTTCTGGCTCCTGCAGACTGTTCCTCCCAGTCCCTGTCTATACCAAGCTACAGACTATGAATGGACTACAAGTGTGGTGATGTCACTGCACTTGTACTCCATTGATCAATCATATCAATAATTAAAATGTAAGTATCGGTGTTTGTATCCACAAATGCTTACTAGAGAACCAGCCTCACTTTGAGCTGATGAAAATGTCCAGTGCAGTGCCAATATGTCTTAGGGTTCATACATATTAGTGCTGCAGTTTCTGAGGGCGGACTCATAAACTCTGCTCTCTTCAGCGGGCGGACATGTAAGCTCTGCTCTCTGCTGCAACACTGCAGCAGTTATTAACTACTGACTTGACCATTACTGTAATCTTAGTTGTATATTACTTGTCTGGTTCTGTGCGCTGAGGCTTCTTTCCAGGTGTCACCGATATGCCATGCTGGTCGGTTTTTAAGGTCACTTCCTCCTCCATATCCACACTGAGTTCATCCTCTGATGCAGTGTCCAGTAGACCCTGACGTTCCTCTGGTACCGTCTCCAATTTTTCCTTCTTTTTAGAAGATTTAGTGATTATTTCAGTCGTTTTACCATAGTTGCCTGTGTAATAGAGAATTTCTACATCAATTTTCATCATCAAGTTTTTCATTATTTGCCTAGATCCCCTAAAATAAGAATTTAACACAGGGTTTGCAGAAGCTGTGTTGGGCTTTTTAAAAAGGAACCCCGGCACTGCCACCGCACTTGTTGACTACTCCTGCAGATAACACATTTCCACTAGCAGAGAGGGTGATGGGTGTGTCCCTTCCCTCACTCAAAAGTGTGTGTAGTCTAATATCTTGTTCGGATCTATTCAACATACAGATCATTCAAGCATTTCAGAGCACATCAGTAGATAGTCCTTTGGAGAACTTGGAGTACTAGTCTTGTACCTCTTGGCTGTGGTAAATATTACATAATAGGGATGCACGGATACCAGTGCCGATACTTGGCATTTTCACAAGAACTACCAGGATTGCAGCGGTGTTCCACCACTGTCATGAAATCATTAGTCTGTATTGTTTTAGAAAAACTGTCACATGACAATAAAAAAAAATGGTATCAGTAATTGGTATATGTGGGTACTTGGACAAGTATTAGTACTTGTACTTGGTCTGGAACAAAATGGTATTGGTGCATCCCTAATATATATATATATTAAAACAGGGATGCACAAATCCCAGGAGCCCCATAGCCAATGCTTCTTAATAATGACATCTGCCTCCTAACTTTTGAGTTTTTCTCTAGTCTAGTCTTGGAGATGGAAAAGTGTCTGTACTTGTATTTGTACCAAGTACTGTACTTGGTATCTTTGCATCCCTATTAAATAATATTTGTATGCATGTTTTCATTTTTACCTGACTAAAAAATGTAACATAAGAAAATAATAATAATATACAATAAAGGAAAATACTGTATATACGTAGCCACTATGCATTCCTTTTTAATACTGAATCTCAAAACCTTTTCTTTTAGAGCTATCAGAAAACCATTACTACTTACCTATAGAAAACTCAAATTTGACAGGTTTGGTTCCAATACTGGGGTCCATCATTGTGACCTCAAATAGCACTCCAAACAGAAGGAACTCTTCCTTTACTCCTAAAGCATTCTGCATAAAAAGACAAATAAAGATCAGATACAGTTGGCTTAAAACGGTGTCTGTGGAACTTCTGGTAAGCTACTGCTAAACGAAGCACATAATGCTATTAGAACATGCTTCTTATTAAAACTGGATATTGTAAGCCACCATCCACTTCCATCAATACCCTACCCCCTTTGGGCAGCTGTCTTCAGGCATGATTTTGCTTGAGGTGACGTGACTTTCACACACGGTTTACTTTTACCAAGGTCTAGATATAGCTGGAAGTTTGCAGCCATGCATGTCTGTTGGTGTTAATGTTGGTGTATTATAACAAATATTATATTCATTTAAATGAATGACTAAAAGATCAATGTCGCCAAATGTGTAATTTCGGCTGTGCCTGTCTTCTAATTACTCTTGGTGGATCTCTCTGCTATAACTTTTTTTCCCACCCATATTGAAGAACCAGGTGGTCCCCACCTGTAGTTGTTGCCACTTCTCCTTGTGCATTCTTCATAACATAAAATATTTTAAATATCCAGGAAAAAGAGTGGGATATGACCTGTAACTGCAATTGCAGAGATCTCACCACCAGTCCTAGAAACTGTTAGGAACGCCTCAGTACCCACCGAAAAGCTGATATTATTTGTTTATTTGGACTAACCCTTGATAGTAGATGCATGTTCATATCATTCTTAAATGCCCTCAACCTACAGAACCCTTTCAATATATCTTTTTGAATAACAAGGCTCATCTGCCTACATACTGCACAGTCCTGGTGTTCTGATTAGGAAAAGTGAGCTTGCTCCATTATGATCATGAGATAAACATTATAACATAGGTCCCTGATCCATTGGTTACCTCTGGCAATGGCAGGATATCATCCACCTCCACAGTGACCGCGTTTGGCTGTTCATTTTTCTCCTCATCCTCATCTCCATCAGCACGCTCCGCTGCTGCAGCAGCCGCATTTTCTTTCTCCTTCTCCTGTGACTTTTTGCTTTTCTTCTTCAGCTTCAATTTACTGAAGGCATTTTTGAGGGCTTGCAAGGGCTTTTTCTCCTGCACATTATTATTGGAGAATAATTCTAGCGTTACAGCGACCATGATCCGACCTCGGTAGAAGATCCCCTCACCAAGACCTTCATTCAGATCCCGATGGATATCTCTCAGTGTATAGTTCTGAGGAGATCCGTAAAGATTGACCCAGGCAGGGCCGAATGTTGGGTTAAAGCCAGCTAAAGAAAAACAGATGGAAAATTAGAACACTTATAGGCTATGATGAACAGCTCTAATTTATCCTATGAAAAGTAGGTTAGTGTACCTCCTTTCTTTCAGGTAAGTAACCACTGACACTAATGATCTTTTCAGCTCTCTGTAAGGGGCAATCTTCCCAGTTACCATCAATGTAACTGGCATTCTTTCCATTAACCACCTTTGTAAGGTGGCCCTTCTCTCACTGATGACTAATATAAGGGTGCTTTTCTCGCATTGATCAACTAATGTATTGAGATATGACCATTTTTATCAAGGATTCCCTGGACCCTTAAAATTATCTCAATGGTTCTTCTAGGATTTGTTCATGGGTACATAGGCAGCAGACATATATGAGCTGCCTATGTACGGAATACAAAGTAAAGACCATGTGACTGAATTAACTGCTTAGTCATTGTGACAATCTCGCCAAGAGTCAGTTGTCCTCATGTTCTATCAGGTGATGAGATAAAATCGTTAGCGGGAATCAAAGGCTCACCCCCTGTATGCGCAATGGATCATTGACTATATATTTAATGAAGCCACTTGATTCACTCTTTACCCACAGCCTATGTGTGCATTAAATGAACTGAACCCGCTATAATCCTCATTTACTTCTACGCAACCCTCTTCTAAATGTATTTCAAAGCTATATAAAATACTTACTTATCATAATAGTGCAGAAAACCCAATTTTTTAGTGAATGGAGGATTTTGCCAGTGTCATTTCGGGGGAACAAGAAGCAGAAAGTATTGCAGCTCATTCATTTCTCCTCGCTTGCTAATGCAATTGAGGAAATTAATTATAAGTTATTAATTTGTTGGCATTGGACCCCGACAAAATTATACTCTTTACATACAGTATATATAATTCTCTATATTGTTAGAGAGGTTGTAATCAAATGGGCATACATGCTCATATTTGTTGGTTCTGCCCTATAATTTTACAATACTGTCTATTGGTCGTAGATCTAATAGGAAAGATCCCCAGTGGAATTTGACCCTTGGGTTCTTTTGTTTCATTGTATGGGTAAATCAACAGGCCTTATAAAAAAAAAAATCCATCATGCCGCATCTGCTTTATGTGCGGAAGCTTTGATTCTCCTTTATTGGCTTAAATCTCAACATCCTCCATCATATTGTTGGTTCCAGAGGATAGATCATTTTTTTGTCTTATGGAAAATTTGACTTCCAATTCTAGGGGTAAACAGCAAATTTATATGAAAATGTGGGCCTGTTGGATCACCTTTTGGACTACACCAGCTTATCTAGAGGTAATGGCAAATAATCTGGAATTTTTTGTATGATGTACATTAGGAAATGAGAATGATCGCAAAGTGTGAGCAAAAGGACCGTATTTAATTAAAATATTGTAAATGTTTGATTGTGATGGTTGTGATGCTTAATTTCTGATGTTTTGTGTTGCCTTTTCTATTATTTTAAGAAGTATACTATAAAAATGAATAAACATCAAAAAAGTCTATTTTTATTAGCTTTCCACAGTGAATCCAAGGAAAATGAAGTTCACATATACAGTATTAGATGTTAGACGTGTTTAGCACTCTAGCCTAACTGTGCCATTATTGTGACCATGTAGTATTTGTCTCACCATTTTTGCTTGGGTCAGATATCTGCTGCAGGTCAATAAAATGAGTGGCCAGCGCTACGTCCCCAATGTGAGCATCATCCAGGACCTGAATTCTTATCTTCCGAGCAAGAGGAGGGAAAAGTTCAATGAAAGTGACTTGCTCATTCCATTCTGGGATGTTGGTGTCACTTTCCACAGATGTTTCTCCCTAAATGGCAAACAAGTGATCAGAACAATTCTTCTGTTGGCTGCAAAAATGATTTTAAAATACCAACAAATCTGAAATTTTTTTAGTTATGATTATCAATCACATATAACGCAACTGTGCACCAGGTACTGGCCATACCCCCAGCCAATGGCTCACAATCATGTGATTAGTATGTACCAAAGTCTATCCAGACAGGGGGTATTTATTGCTCTACTTATTATCTGTAACATTGGGAACTTAAAGTGCAACTAAATGTTCCTGTATGAGAGCCTGAACAAGTACTAAATCTGGTTTCTATAAGATGCACAAGCCAAATCCTCCTTGAATCCTCTTATACTCCCACTCTCAGGCACTGCAAATCACATATGGTGGCTTTCATCAAAAGAGACAGTGCTGTCAATCTAGAAAAGTAGTGGGCCCGACTAGGTGTGGCCAGGGGCTGATTGACAAGCTACAGGCTAGTGAATCAGCAGTGACAAAGCTGATAACTACGCCCCGGCAGCATTTTGCCATCCCACTGTAGTGGAAGCAAGCACAGCCTACATTAGGTTGGCATGATGCTGCACTGCTTCTGAATTTAGTGCTGGCAGTGGTGGCATCCTGCCCATTTGGGACCTTGTCTCTGCAGTTTATATGTTTCTCCTCTGTTGGTGTGCGTTTCCTCATACAATCCAAAATACTGAGATCACTGAAGTCCAGCTTATGGCCAAATTGGCAAAAGATAATGGGTCTGTACTTGCTGGCCGCACATAAAATAATGTAATTGTACAACCTGCTATAGATCAACCAATAACTATGCAGAAGAAGGGACTGGATACAAATTGAAAGAGTTGTATAGATATGGCCTCAAGTAACATAGTAAACCTAAAGGACACTGCACAGCAGGGGCGGACCTACCGCCGGTGCAGCTGGTGCGGCCGCCTCGGGGCCCAAGGCGCTTGTAGGGGCCCAAGGCGCTTGTAGGGACCCACTGAAGTCCGTCCCGGGGATTGAGGGCAGAGGGGGTCCGGCCGCCGCATCGGCGATCACGCTTCTCAGGAGGAGAGAGCTGAGAGGAGTGATCGCCGCTCTCGATCACTGAAGCCGCACACAGTAGTGACATCTGTACACAGATTCTTCTCCTCCTCGGCGGCTGCAGCCAAAGAGCCGCCGAGGGGAGAAGAATCTGTACAGATGTCCCTAATGTGTGCCGGCTTCAGTGATCAGTCTGCCGGCGGCCACCAGCTGCTTCCTCCTCACACTTCAGCTACAACAGGAGGAAGACTGCAGGAGCACACTGGCCAGCTGAAGATTAAAGAAAAGGTATTGGAGAGAAGTCTGCTCGAATATGGCTGCACCCCCCACCTGGAGAGAAAGAGGGCAGATCACATCTGTGGGCACTGTAAGTTTTTATTCACTCTGTGTCACATCTGCTGACCTCTGCGCTCTGCGTCACACCCTGACCTATGCGTCACACCCTGACCTCTGCGTCTCACCCTGACCTCTGCGCTCTGCGTCTCACCCTGACCACTGCGCTCTGCGTCACACCCTGACCTCTGCAATCTGTGTCACACCCTGACCACTGCGCTCTGCGTCACACCCTGACCTCTGCAATCTGCGTCACACCCTGACCTCTGCGCTCTGCCTTACAACTGACCTCTACAGCTTGGAAATTAAATTGTTAAAATTGATTCAGGTGCGTTAGGTCCTGCACAGCAGCCTTCTGTGGAACCACCCGGCATCTGCTTACAGCACGTTTGCCGCCCGCACATCTTCCCCTCCTGAGACCCTCCGCACCCCTCCTGAGACCCTCTGCCCAAGACATCAGGCCGGCATTCCAGAGCAAAGAGGCAGAACAAAGTATGTACCAAATTCATATACTATCATTCTGCATTGCTTTATAATGTATTGCTGGGATTTGTAGTCCTCTACAGATGATGGCATTCTGCATTAGAGTGTAAGCTCCTCTGTACAGAGACTGCTGTGACTGGTTCAGTGTCCTCTGTACAGTACTATGGTATATGTCAGAGCTATATGAATGTAAAATAATAGTTTGGGAGGGGGGGGGGGGTTAGGGGGCCAGTGAGATCCAGTTCTGGCACCCCCCTTGGGAACAGGAAGGGGGGCCCCGAGAAAAAAAATCTTGCACGAGGGCCCTTTGTTCGTTAGGTCCGCCACTGCTGCACAGAGATGGTGTAATCAGATGGTGTAATCATATTCATCTAGATTGATATTAGTAAAGATGGTGGACCATACCTGCTGACCAGCAAATAGAACCTGTACATATGGATCAATAAAGACCTTCTTCTCCCCCATGATCTTAGAGAAACTTCCCATGATGCCATCATTCATGCTGGGTAAGCCTTCAGCTTTATAGATTTTAACACTGATTTTAGACCATGGCCTCTCGGCTGGGACCCTCTTGGGGAGCAGTAAGTTCCTACAAGAAGCAAAATTAGAACATTATAGCATCCTAAGGAAGACTGGAACTGTGGAGGACACTGATGCATGTGTACCTTTAAAAAAATTATCTTTTAACTCACACGGGGGAATGCACAGCGTTTTGTAATTATATTTACTTTTTATACTCACATTAACAGAAAATACTTCATTATGATTAGATTTTTCCAACCAGCCGCTTACCAGACTAACCTTAACTATTTTACTGTTTGCAAAACTAATAGCTGAATAATGAGAAGTGGACTATGCCTCCCCCATTCTATACCTGCTCTGTGTAGCTATGCATAGAGTTTCAAACAAGGAGAGACAGCTACTGCTATGCTCTGACTTTGGAAAACCCATAGCAATGATGCACCTTATATGAAAAGTTTAATTGTAAAATATTATATAGGGATGTTCAGATACCAGTTCAGATACCAGTGCCGATACTTACCATTTTCACGAGAACTACCAGAGTTGCAGCAGTTGCAGCTGTGACAGGGCCCTGGAGCTCCACCACTGTCCTGAAATCATTACTATATAAATGTACTAAGTACGGTACTTGGTATCTGAACATCCCTGGTTTTATATAGAAAAAAGTATAAAACTTCAGTTTAAAAGCTTGTAAACCTAAAATAGAAGGGTGCCAGGAACAGGGTCAGAAATTAGGCAGAGAGATCTCACTGCCTGATACCCCAAAACAAATAAGAAGGAACAGGGTCAGAAATTAGGCAGAGAGATCTCACTGCCTGATACCCCAAGACAAGTAAGAAGCCAGGGGCCGACTCATATCATCGGTATTCACCTAAAATGAAAATACCACTTTTGGGCAGAAGGCTCTTTAATTTTTATATGCAAAGGTCTTGTTAAAGGAGAATTATGAGGCGAGTGATTTTCACTCAATGAAACTTTGACAGGTCGGCTCAGATTATGACAATGAAACTGTCACAGGTCGGCTCAGATTATGACAATGCAACTGTGACAGGTCGGCTCAGATTATGAACAGGTCGGCTCAGATTATGACAATGAAACTGTCACAGGTCGGCTCAGATTATGACAATGAAACTTTGACAGGTCGGCTCAGATTATGACAATGAAACTGTCACAGGTCGGCTCAGATTATGACAATGAAACTGTCACAGGTCGGCTCAGATTATGACAATGCAACTGTGACAGGTCGGCTCAGATTATGACAATGAAACTGTCACAGGTCGGCTCAGATTATGACAATGAAACTGTCACAGGTCGGCTCAGTAGATCGGGAAGTGAGCGAACACATACCGGCGCTCGCTCACTTCTCGATCTATCCGTGCAGAGAGCCGTGACGGCTCCCTGCAGGGATTCCCCCCCTCCCCTGTCTGATCCGCCAGCGCTAACTGGCGGAACGGACGGGAGAGGGGGCGGGTACAGCTAGATAGGCAGAGCCAGCTGTCAATCACGCAGCTGGGTGGATCCAGACAGAATTTTGGTGACGGGAGGACGCTAGTCTGTGTCCTCCCGTTACCCTTAGGAGAACTAAGGGAAAAGCCCTAACCCCATAGTTCTCCTTTAAATAAATAGTCCAACTCTGACATTTCAGTTGTGGGTAGATGCCTGTGGAGTGAATAACCCTTTAATTCATATATCTTAGGAACCACTGAAGTGAGAGCACTTGAGTCTCCATTATGATGGCATCTCATTCCCTATGTCATATTTTGCTCAACCGAGAATGCACAAGGAGCCTTGATACTCTCCAGTTAAAGCAGCAGGAGTCCTCACTCCTCCTAGTACCAACAATGACTACAATTGGCACGTTTCCTAAATGCTAAAATGTCTCAAAATTATGGGGAGAATTTATCAAAGCAATGACGACAGTTTTAGCCTCTTAGATCATTTTGTTTATGTGCAAATCTGTCTTTTAACCTGAGCAAATCTGTCTTTTAACCTGAGCAAATCTGTCTTTTAACACTGTATGTGTTTTGCCCCTGTTTTGACCAGAGCTTGCACTACTTTTTCAATGGCATGCTTTTTGTACATGTTTTTCAAATGAACGTTTTTTTTGCACCTGTTTTGCACCTGTTTGCATCTGCACTTGTTCTGGGGCTGTATGAAACTGGAGCATCACCTAAAAAAACAGTCACAACTTAAGAAGTCCCCATGACCACTTCTTCAAGAAGCAACAGTTAAAGTGACATTATCAGGGATCCCAACCTGAAAGAAGCACTTTCAGGGAGGTGTCCCTCTCATTTCCGGGAGGTGCTCCCCCCCCCCCCCCCCCCCCCACGGAGGAGAGGTTAGGGGGGCTGGGAGAGAGCACCCCCCTGAAATGATGGCAGATAGCACAGGAAGCAATAGCTTCTTTGCTATCTGCAGGCTTTCTTTTTTTTTTTTTTTGTATTCTGACAGTTGCAGTCGTCAGAATTTTTTACAAAAAGGCATACGAATGCATAGCTAGATTCCTATTGGCTATTGCACTTTGCAATAGCCAATAGGAAACTAGGTAATGCACCCGTCCACTGCTGCTTTCAATCAGCAGAAGAGGACCTGATAGAAAAATTCAGGTCCCCCTCTGCTGATTGACAGCAGCAGTGGGCGGGTGCATTAGCTAGTTTGCTATTGGCTATTGCAAAGTGCAATAGCCAATAGGAATCTAGCTATGCAATCGTATGCCTTTTTTTTTCTTTTCTGACTGACGGTCGGGCCGCGGCTCCCGATGTCAGAAAAGAAAAAAAAAACGATCGCAGGGAAAGGTTTAATCTGCTTGATAGAGCAGATTAAACCTTTCCGGGAGAAAATGTTTATCTCCCGGGCGGCCGGGAGCCGCTATCTAATAGCGGGAGACTCCCGGAGCTTCCGGGAGAGTTGAGATGTCTGCATTAAAGACAAATTTTTTCCCACCTCCCCCCATGTTAATGTTAGCACTTACCTTAAATGATGTCTCTTATTCCGATCTTTTTCTTCTGTCCTGATGTTTTCATCTGTCCCTCCAGCGGTGCGGCGGCTCTCCGTTCCAGCGCTGACTGCTCTGTCTCTCCGATCCAGTGGTGTCTGCATGCGGGTGCACGCGTCCATACATTTACCTTGCGTCTATGCTCGTCTCCCGGCCGAGAATCCGAACTGCGCATGCGCCCGACCCAAGTTGCCTTGCGGCCGCCCGAGCGGTTTCGTTTTCTCGGGCAGGAGCGAGCAAAGAAAAAGTTTTTTTAAAACTGTTTGCCTATATCTACTGCTTGATAGCAGTAGATGTAGGCAAAAAACGGGAGGGTTTAGAACCCCTTTAAGCTTTTTGCCTGGAGTTACGAGTCTTCTTTCCTGGAGTCTATTAAACCTCATTTATCAACAACATTACACTAGCAACATAAATCTGGTGCAAATATATACCGTGCAAGTTCAAACACTCGCAATTGCTATGATAAATTCCCCCCTATATGTCTAACGAAAATGACATTTATTATCAAGGCTTAGACTGCATTGATAAATAAGGCGCACATAATGTGTAAAATTTGTCACTTAAAGAGATAGGACAGAAAAGTGGAGCAACTCCCTTGATAAATTCCCCCCTATGTATTTATGATTCATAACTATGTCATGTAATTGAATTACCAAGTATTTTTGGTCATTGAACCTGTGCTGGAACATCTTGCGGAGTCCACACATATATTATTATTATTATACAGGATTTATATAGCGCCAACAGTTTGCGCAGCGCTTATATAAAATGATAATGGTTGATCTAAGCCACCAGTGTTCACTGGTTCTCAAAACATCATTTTTGCATGGACAGATTTAGAATTGAGTCTTTCAAAGGGAATTTTATCATCATCAAACACTCTGTGGATGGAACACAGCTCAGCATGGTGTGTCCGCGGAACATTTTACAGTGAATAAGTGCAGTTTGTCGTCATTCATGATGGTGAAGGAAAGTGGGGAATTAGGACTACTGTACAGTTAGAAATTGCAAACTTACTTTTCAATGTCATCATTTTGGGTGCTTGTGGTTGACGGAGGTGCAGTCATTGGGTCTCCTCTTGTTACTACAGACAGATTGCATTTCACAAACCCTTTTATACCCGCTCGGGTATCTTTTGGATCAGTAATCACTGCCCATTTCTGTAGAAATCTGTGATCTGAAGAAAAACGGGTTGAGTATAGGTCATATAAATATTTGGCGCCCAGGCAAATGTTTAAAAAAGTTGTCTTTTTTAAATACGTGTTTCCTAAAAGACTGCAGAATATGATTTTGCAGCATGTGTATCAGAATATATTATCTGTCACTGTATTGAGGGTTTGGCCCAGTTACTGTACCTTGCTGGTTATAGACAGTTCCAACATCTATTTTAAATGTTCCAAGGTTTGTTCCAAAAATTGGGATTCTCTTGGCATGAACAACCTGGAAAGAGATGTAGACAACAATGTAGAGGATTCAGGGTCTGCTATTCCTTGCAGTATAAAGAAACATCAGCTGACACAGATCATGTATTAAATCTAAGTAGAGGTGGGAGTGAGGCACTGGATACGGATCCTTAAGGTCCCCACACACCTTACGATAATCGTACGATAATCGCGGGAAATCCCGCGCTCATACGATTATCGTAAGGTGTGTGGAAGCCGCGCGACCTCTACTACTGTAAGGTCGCACGATTTCTAACTTACGGACATGTTCGAAAACCCGCCGAGCATCGTACAACGTTCGCTCGGGTTTGTGGCATGTCCGTACGATGAAAGCCATACGGGCCAGTGTGCAGCGCTTGGCCGGTTCTCACTTTCTATCCTCCCAGCTGGGACACAGAGCAGCTGCCATAATATTTATACAGATCGTGCCGGTTACTATTTAAACCGGCACGCTGTGTGCAGCTTCTGAGAAGATACGCTATTAGCGTAGCGGGAGTGATGCAAAATGCGCAGCAGGCTTCCCCGCTACGCTAATAGCGTATCTTCTCAGAAGCTGCACACAGTGCACCGGTTTAAATAGTAACCGGCACGCTCTGTATGCATATAATGACAGCGCTGGGCGCTGCTCTGTGTCCCAGCGGGGAGGATAGAAAGTGAGAACCGGCCGAGCGCTGCGGGAGGAGAGCGCTGTGTTTGTGGGGGGGTTTTTTTTGGGGGGGCAAAAAAAATCTTGCACCAGGGCCCTTTGTTCCTTAGGTCCGCCACTGAGGGGAAATTTTTCTTTAGCTTGGTAAATGTGGTGAAATTTCACTTGCACAGAATACCCAATCATGTGCAAGGAATACGGATCCTTAGCTGGTAGGTAAGAGGTCTTAGTTCAGGCCAAATGGCCTAGGTTAGGCAGCTCTGCACAAAATGGGGTTCCCCAGATCGATTTCATCATTGAAAACTTGTGTCTAAACCTTACCCCGGCAACTTTGCTATGGATATCACATGACTCCAAGAGAAACAAAAAGCACTGAAACCCTGGATGTACACTAGTGTAGTGTTCTAGTGGAAAGGGTGTTATTAAATCTAGTGTTTATCACATTGTATGTGGTCTGATACTAATTTGTAGTTCGGTTAATGTGGTTTTCCCCGTAAACAATCTTATCATTGCTTGCCATCTGTCTGCTGCCAGAGGTACTGCAGGGTGTGCCCTGGTGATAGAACAGAACAGCCAATGGGATTGCTAGGAGTAGATATATCCCTCCCCAGCCAATCACTGTTGAATGAACCAGTGGTGCATGCTGGGGGAGGAGATAAATACTTGGGGTGGGCCATGTTAGCGCTCTCTTCCTCCCCCAGGCCCTGCCTGCAGGAAGGCTGTGCTGGACAGGGAAGACCCGTTCCCGAAGACAGGGAGACCCGGTAATGTTCTCCTATATTGGGAAAGCACTGACTGGAAAGGGGAGCGTTACACTAGAACTTTTTCGTTCTGAGTGAAGATGATTTTTAATTTAAGATAATCATGCAGAACACACTTACCGATATCTCAATAAGTTTGTCGAATACAACATCCCGAGCTTCAAGGAATTCAAAAAGGAAATACTATGGGAAAAGACAAATTTATATTGCAAACGTTATTTAGAGAGAGATTTTAAATGTCACGGAGTGTAAATATCGGAGTGTAAATATCTGATCACAAAGTATGTTTCTGAGATTTTAGGAAGATTACATGAAACACTGAGATAATCCCTATATAATCCATTAACACTAGAATATACTGTATACATGTTAAAAAAAAATAAAAAAATAAAAAATATATATATATATAATTTCCTTTACAGTTTAAAGTGACACTAAACTCCGGAGTTAAATCTTAAAATACATTAAAGTTCCTTGACTATTAACAAAAATGTATCTTGTTTGTGTATCACTCGGCTGTAGATCCTCAATCCTTAACCACTTGCTGACCGGGGTGTTTACACCCCCTTCCTGTCCAGGCCATTTTTCAGTATTCAGCGCTGCGGTACTTTGGCTGACGCTTATTCCGTCATGCAACGCTGTACTGAAATGAATTTTATACCATTTTTTGGGGACAGATAGAGCTTTCTTTTGGTGGTAATTAATCACCACTGGGGTTTTTATTTTTTTACTATATAACAAAAAAAGTACTGAATATTTAAAATTTTTAGATTTTTAAAAGGTTTCCCCTTTTATTATTTTAGGAAACATTTATTTTTACCCAATTTTTTGCTAAAATATAAAAGTCGGGGTCACGTCGGGTAAATAGACACCAAACATATCAAGCTCTAAAATTGCGCGCACCCGCGAAATCGCAAAAAAACACCATAGCCAAAATTGGTCAGAAGCGACGCTTTAAAAGATTTTACCGCTCATCAGTTTAGTGTTATCAGTGATTGTTGGCCCTAAAATGATTGCTCTCATTGCGACGTTCGCGGCGTTATGTAACACGTGCTGCATAATTGGAGCAATCGTCGTCTTTGAGTGTAGGCGCATCTAACACATTTTTGCGCATCTATGTGGGGGTGGGGGACTTTAAAAACATTTTGTGGTTTTTTTATGTTTTGTGTGTACATTTTTATTTCTTTTGTGAGCAATTTTTTTTTAAAACTTTTTTTACACTTAACTTTATTGTTATCACATAGGGTGCTAAGAAGTACCCTATGTGATAACAAATTACAGTGACAGGTCCCCTTTATGGAGACATCAGGGGTCTCTAAGACCCCTAATGTCACCTAGGGACCCCCACTGAAGCTGATGAAGCACAGATCTGCTTTATCAGCTTCTCTCTGGTTTCTGTATATACATCACTTCCTGCATTCAGAGACCGGGAGGAGAGCGGAGGGAGATCGGGTCCTGATCTCCCTACGTTCTCAGTGCACAGAGAGACGTCGCTAGGACCGGATGGATGCCGGGATCGCGGGGATGGCGGCGGCAGGGACAGCGACGGTGACCAGAGGTAAGGAGGGGGGGGGCGCACCCTCACTTGTATCATACAAGCGATCGGGCGTCTTTACAGACGCCGGACCGCTTGTATGTAAACGGCCATCGCTGTAAAATCGAGGCGGTTTCCTGCTCGTGCGCGGGCACGAAGGACGTCTAAAGACGCCCACCCGCATCCAGGAGACTCCCGTCCGGCCGTCTTTCAACGATCGGCGAACGGGAGGTGGTTAAAGGAGAACTATGAGATGAGTGCTTTTCACTCACCTCATAGTTCTAGCCGACCTGTGACAATGAGACTGTCACAGGTCGGCTCAGTAGATCGGGAGGTGAGCGAACATATACCGGCGTTCGCTCACTTCTCGATCCTGTCACGGCCCTCTGCCGTGACAGGGGAGGGGCTGGATTCCCCCCTCCCCGCTCTGATCCTCCAACGCTGACTGGAGGAACGAACGGGGAAGGGGGCGGGTACAGCTGGCTCTGCCTCTAAATAGGCAGAGCCAGCTGTCACTCACGCAGCTGGGCGGATCCAGACATAAAGGCAAATAGGCTGTTCAATTTTGCAAGGGAAATTGCACTTTGCGGGGGAAGTATTCCTTAGCTTGTTAAATGTGATGAAATTTCACTTTGCAAAGAATACCCAATCATGTGGAAGGAAAATTAAAAAAAAAACAATATATTTACCTGCACATGATTGGCTGATGGTAGTCAGCAGACCTTTCCTCATTCACTAAATTAATGGGATACTTCCCTTGCAAAGTGAACAGCCTATTAACCTTTAGTAATGTTTAGTAGGCCATGAGATGCAACATACTGTATATCACCTAAAGAGGGAATTCATAAAACCTGAAGCAGACAGAATCTGGAGCAGGTACCCATGTCAACCAATCAGCTTCTTACCTTAGTTTGTCATTTAGGCGTTGAAAATAAAACAGAGAAGCTCATTGGTTGCTATGGGCAACTGCTCCATGTTCTATCTGCTCCAGTTTTTTATTAATTCCCCCCTAGTGGTAGATCTTCCCCAGAAATATAACATAATATATAAGATAAAAGTAATTCAGGAGATAGTGTTGACCTCTTACCCACCTGATTGTAAAAGGGGCAGTTTGTTGATTTTTGGGTTGCAGTGTGTCTTTTTTCATCCCCGACTTTCACATGTACTACTGGATTAATATTGACTCCGATGAGTTTCTGAGCTTGTACGATAGTAATTGCAACCTGCAAAGTGATGTTACATGGTTAGAACCACTACACACATTTCTGAAAATTGTTGTAAGCTACTTTGTCAGAAAGCTGGAAACTGGTACATTTTGAATACTATAAATAGCACAATACAGGTCCTATTAATAACTTAGAGCAAATACCAATATCTGCTCTCCAGCGGCCCCGGGAGCGTTTGCTACACACCGCGCCTGTATTTAGAAATATTCATACAATGCAGGTCGCAATGTGGCACCTTTGGTGTCCCACAGACTCTTCTCTTAGCATAATGCTGGAGAGAAAGCTGTGATTGTAGGCTAACCTGGTCACATAACTTTGACAGGTCACGTGACCGGGCTCACCTCCTCCCAGCTATTCCTTTTTTACATATACAGTACATTGTGGTATTGTGTGGCAATCCCACTGGGGGTTTGTAGTCACCCAGGACTCTCAGCCAGAGGGGCTGAGTGGTTCCAGGAGGCAAGTTCTTATACTGGGAAAGAGCTGACTTTGTGGCTCTTTCCAGGATTTCTGGATTTTGCATGGGATCCTGGAGCTGGGAGATTACGCCAGCCGCAGCTCCCGCCCGCAGCTCCCGCACGCACACACGCACAATGGAAGCGACATCCGCCGGGACCGGCAACAGCACGCCGCCTTCCGGGACCTCGTCCAGTCCTCCCCGAGCCAGGTAAGACATCCCCCGAAAATAAGACCTAGTGTCTTATTTCGTGCAAAAAAAAAAATAAGACACTGTCTTATTTTCGGGGAAACACGGAGAGAATTGGGAGGGATGAAATCTCCATTGCTGGTGCCGGACTTTAGTAGTGGCCAGCACCTAATTGCACACCTGTGCACAGCCCTTATGGAAAGGGTGCTGGCTAATGTTCTGGGCTCCAGCTGGGAAAAGGAACAGAGGTGTTCAGGAGTCAGGAGGACTCCACCCAGAAGTCATAGGGGAGCCAGGTTGCTGTGTATATGTTGGAGGCACCTGGAAAACAGCCAAGGAGGCTTGGAGAACCTGTGGCACATGAGGGTTGTGTGGAGGAGTCGCACCAGAGGTGTGGAAAGCTGCTAAAGAGTAAAGCGTAATTCTGAGGAGTCTTGCTGATAAAAAAAACCCTAAAAGTCCTGGGACTAGGACATATAGAGACAGAAAAAAAAAAATCTCAGAGAACTTTTTACTCTTTGTAAAAACTAAAAAACTTTGTAAAAGTTTGTAAGCTAGAAAATTAATTGGCTGGAGTTGGCCTTTAGGATGTTTAATAAAAACAAGGTAGATGCTTAAACTTAGCTTTTCCACTGCTGGGACAAACAATATGTTTGTGAAGGTTCTCATTTATCGCCAGGGTATGTAAACTTTTGATCAGGGTCATTTGGGTAGTTTCTGTTGTAATTATGATTGGAAAAGAGTAAACACAGTTGATTGATAATAAATGGCTTCAGCCAAACACTACCCATGAGTGACAGAAAGGTTTTCGTGTTATCATTCATATTCTCTGAAAAGTGGCCAGGAAATCATAAATTCTGCCAGGGTATGTTTTTGCTACAGAATCTCTCACAGGAACAATGCATCGACTACAAAAGGAATGAAAATAATTAAATATGAATTTGTATGGTGAGCATCCAAGCAGCATGACAATGTCTCAAATACATTATTATTTTTGATATAGATACTGTATATACTTTTGGGAAACAAAACAACAAAAACAGGGTGTGTTCCATCAACAGGAACAGCATTAAAGAAGAACTCAAAAGCTACTGCTCCTGTGAATGTTGCAGTGTTCCTTATAGAAGAACTCTGGGCAGAATAAAGCTTAACCCTTGAAGTGGGGCTGCCCCCCCCCCCCACACTGCTCATGTAGCCTCTCCAGGAGTGGTATGTCCCCCGGCGTCCCCACATCTAATACACTGTATTAGACATGATGACTCACAGGTCCTTAGAGCTGAGAGGGAGAGACAGGACCGAGGATTGGGTGAGTATATCTTTGTTACTTTAGACACTGGACCAAAATTAACACTTAACCCTTGAAGTGCGTGGGTAGCCCACTGCAAGGGTTACATTTTATTCTGCCTGGAGTTCTTCTTTAGCAATGCAACATTTACAGGAACAGTAGCTTTTGACACTAAAAATTCAAAAAGGTACACATGGTATTTCTGGGGTTACTTAGACAGTAGGCTGGGCCTCTCCACTGCAACTGTCTCTGGTTTAAGTCCAAACATTTAAAATGAACAACTGTGGGAGTTGTCAAGGAAAAATAGTTAACGGGAAGTCAAGGCAATTTGTAGATGCGTAGCCATGTGTAGTCCACCATTGTGTGTTCCAGTTCCTGCTGTTACATTCCCCATAATATATATATTTTAAAAAACCATCCATCAGAGATGGTGTGAACCCCTCATAATGCCCAGAACAGAGGTGGAGGCCTGGGAACTCAGTGTAGAGATCTCACCAATGAAGACCCAGCGAGATATAAGAAAACCTCAGGAAGTTTATCTCTTCAGCATCTGTCAGAAGCTAAAATGTCATTTCTAAGTGGAATGACCCATAAGAATATACATTTGATAGCCATAGATGCATTCAATCAGCACATAACTCAAGCCACTGTTACCTCAGTATAGGAGTGAAGCTGACCCCAGTAATCTCAATATCCGATTCATCATAGGAATCGTCATCATCGTCCTCATCATCATCGGATCTTTTCACCAGCTTCTTCCCTATTTTGGCCGAATCGATATCTTTCTTACGAGCGACTTCAGCTTCCTCACTGAAGACAAGAGGATGAGATACATAATCTTATACCTTGTGTGTCGGAATCATATGCCATACTGGCCATACTCCTATCAATTTTTTTCATTCAACCAGTGGGCCGAATGAAAACATTTTACCCGATTCCTCCATCAACACGAACAGCGCGTCGATCGAGGAATCCCGCTGTTTACATTGTATTCTGACCCGACCGTGCTCAGTGGCTGCAGGCTCTGATCGATCGAAAATTTTCAAGCCAGCTCCTTTGATCAGGTGAGCGAGGAATGCCGGCAGAAAGGAAGCCGACAGCCCCGTACATTGTGCGAATTTCGTCCAGCAGATTAAAAGCCGGACCAAATTTGACCAGCGTATGGGCACCTTAAAGGCTCATTTACATGTCCTATAAGGTCTGTCACTGTACAAAATAATTGCAAGTTATGGAAACTCACTGAAGAACTCAAGGTTTGTTTTCTAGGGTAAATACTGTACAGTGGCCATACTTACATATCCTCCTCTTCAAAGTGCACATTCCGAATAATGTAATCTGAGCTGTAAAACAAAGATGGAAGTATTATGTTCATGAACTTAGCAGACCTTTCAAACTCTTTAAAAGGAAAAGTGATAAGTTTACAAACATTTTAAACTGTTTTTGTTTTTTCCTCTCCCTCCCTCTCCCCCCCCTCTCTCTATCCTCTTTCTCCTCTCTATCCTGTCTCTCTCTCTCTCTCTCTCCTCCTGCCCTCCCTCTCATCTCTCTATACTCTCTCTCTCTCTATCCCCCCTCCCTCTCTCTCTCGCCATCCTCTCTCTACCCTCTCTCTCTCTCTCTCTCTCTCTCTCTCACACACACACCTGGCAGGGAGTGGGGAAACAAATATAGCAACTAGACAACAACTTTACAAACTATGTTTCCAAAATAGGAAAAACTTTTTTTCAGAAAAATATTACACACAGAAAAGGCGCTAAAAGAGCAAAGTTTTAACTTACTGGTCTTCTACTGAAAAAAAGTCATCTCGCATCCAGGAACCTGCTGCTCCATCTGGTGGCTGATAGCGAATATCCAACTCAACATAAATCTGTAGAGACAGGTAGAACAGACAGCATAAAAGCCTGTTAACAGAAGAATGATGTGTTTCTATGCTATAATGAGTTGACACAAACTGTGGGCATTTTTTAACTAGTGCCCGCAGGTGGAAAAGCAAAAAAAACAACAACAATTTGAGTCAGCCATAGATGTGCTCAGCATATCAGGTTAAATGAAATGCAACCCAGAAGACTAAGGACACAATGTGGGTACAGGGTGTCATGGTTCAGTGTTTAATTATGAAGATGGCGGTGCTGCATTTATCACATCAGCCCAACCTTTCTTCAGCATTGAGAACTGCCAAAATAAGGTAAATTTTGAAGAATTTCGGACTACAACAGGCGAGCCTCCGAGGGGGAGCACTAGGGGGTGGGAGAGGTATGCACGGAGATGGGCTTCAAAACTCTTTGGTCTAATGTGAAGTCTTCAGAAAGAGGAATAATCTTCAGAAGACACATCCAGTGTCCCCCACCACACTGAAATCCACATGCTGAGATATTCAGCTAAGACATTGTATTGAGCAGCCGTGAATATTCTAAGTGTAGCAGATGAAATCAGGAGCCGCTGAATTCTGCAAGCAAAGGACAAACCACACAAAGACTAACCCAAGAACACTTTACTCTTATTAGACTGTCCCTACAATGAAATAAAGAGTGCCTGACAGACAATGGGACTGTGTTAATACAATATTGAATCTGCAGAAAGCAAATATACAACACACACACAGAGCAAACTCCTGCAGACTCTCATAGCAATATGACATGTGCAGACCATGTGCCTTGTGAACTTGTCAGTTCAGTATATATCTGCTACAAAACAGAATATATTTTATTACTTTAATGCATATCTAACTCTCCCCGTTCCCCAGTAATATGTTGCAGCTTACCAATCCTTAGATGTGGTGGCTGCATTAGTTTTTTTTCAGGCTTTTTCCCTTTATTTTTACCTAGAGATCCTGCCACTAAAACATTTCCTCTCCTAGGGTGACAACATTCACTCACTATCCTGTATCTATGGAGCAGCAGCAGTTGTTTGTAGAGCAGTTCTACAAACAACTCCTCCTCTCCTCTTCTCCATAACATAATAGAGAGGTGTTCTGTAGTTCTCAGAGATAGCTGGGAACAGTATAACTGATAACAGTCAACAGAAACAGAGAGTACAGGAAGTTACAAGCTCACTGGATTGCAGGCAGGAACGACAGGGTTTTTATTCCTTATTGCACATATATAAGAAAACACTTTCAATGATATAATTAATAGACCGAAAGGCAGCAAACGAGACGTTCATCCTGAGGGTTTACATAAACTTTGAAGGCTACCAACACGTTAGGGGGTGCTTCTAGGCTCAGAATTTGTCATCAAATATGAAATAGTTCATTGAAATAAGTTGTGATATTTTATGGAGAGCTATTGTGTTCTGGGTCAGAAAGTTCCACACATCCAGAAGGGGAGAAGTGATTAGATTACAGAAGCATGCCTCTCACAGAAGCTCTGTAATTGGGTATAGGGTGTGGGTATAGACTCTCTACGAATATCACTTGCTGCCATGACCCGCCTAAGCACCATAGACTTCTATTGAAGACTGGGCCAGATCTTTTTTGTCATTGGTCACCCTCTCCAAATTATTAGCTTTCTTTGCCATCAATCACTTTGTTATTTTGTTCCCAAGCTTTACAGTATGTGAAAAACACATCCCTGGCATCCCTTTATACGTGCCTGCCGCCCAGTGGTGTCCCTACAATTCTCTTCACCTGAGGCAGGGGGTGGGGGTGCTGGTGGTGTAATTCCAGGGGAGAAGTTGTTACTGGCAGTGCAGGCCCAAAGGGGGGCCTGCCCCCTGAGTACATGGCCCTGCCCCCCTGAGTACATGGCCCTGCCCCCTTGACCACATGGCCCTGCCCCCTGACCACATGGCCCTACCCCTGAGCACATGGGGGGAGGTATTTGGGTTGCACAGTACACTGAGTAGGATGCTCTGGCCGGCGTACCCAGCTGCTGGCAACCACTGACATCAGTGAGCTGGGTGGGATTCCGGACAGAGGTACCATGCAACCCAAACACCCCCCCACTGGCCAGAGCCGCACAGGTTAAGTCTTCAGCACCCAGTGGCCAGCAGGGAGAAGCATTTACATCTAATGGGATCCCAGGGACGTTTTCTTTCATATAATTCTTTATAAAAACACCCAAGGTTGATGAAAGCTGTGAAGATTACAGGAGCCTGACGACCCCTTCCAACAATCTCAGGGAAAAGACCAACAGAAAGTCCAAACTGATGACACCATTGAGTCTCAAAAAATATAACAAAATGATTTTATTGAAAATTTTCAGTTGCATGTTGATCAGTCGAAGTGGGGAAAAGTTAGGTATTATATGCGTGCGATACACTTCAGCTTTAACAGACCAAAAGGAAGCAAATCAGAAAAGTTTATTGTTTACATACACTTCAATTGACTGACTTGTCTATAGGCCTATGTTCCCGCTACTAATCTGAACTGAGAAAGCCATTTGGACGAGCGGTAAAACATCTTCAAAATGGTAAAACAAGTCTAGTTAAATGTGACCGGCTACATGCATCTATTCTAAATTCTATTGTTTTTGGAATTGGTAACAAAAATCCATACACAATGCCGCTAACAAAATAAAGCAGAATTTACATTTGAATAGCAAGGACACCTCTGTCTATCAAGTTTCTATTCACAGTACTGTACTGCTGTGTTGTTTTATGGCCGTGGTTTTAAACATCGTGAAATTTGAAAAGAAAAGCAATAACAATCTATTGCTGCAATAAGCAGAACCAGCAAGTCAGATAGGTTCCTATAGCTGAGGAGAAGCAGGCGAGAACGGGGTGTGCCGCTATGTGGGAGAAAAGACACATGTACGGCTCAGTCATGCGACTTTGTTATTACTCATCACAGAAAGAGTTAGTTGCTAAGAGCTTGTTTATTACACAAGGCTGTATATTGATGATACAAAATGACCTCTGCCGTCACTTTACTGGCTTCAGGAATCTATAATGCTTTTAAGTCAGTTTTATTTATATTTTTTTTACATATTTTTCCTAACTTATGTTTATATCTTATTTTACAGTGTATATCAAATCTTTCTTTTATAAATAAACATGTAAAGACCAACTCCGGAATTTTTTTTTAATGCCCCTCAAGCAATGATTAAAAAAAAGGAGATCTGTCTGCAATACTTACCTTCAATCCAGAGCTATACTCTACAGTACATCTTTTTCCAGGCTTCTAGCTGAATGATGCCCAGTGTCACTGAACCGGGAAGAGTAAGGAAAGACTGTGGCTGCAGGTAGACATGACCCTGCCCCCTAAACACATGGCCCTGCCCCCTGAGCACATGGTCATGCCCCCTGAGTACTGGTCACATGACCCTGCCCCCTGACCACATGGCCCTGCCCCTGAACACATGGCCCTGCCCCCTGAGTACATGGTCCTGCCCCCTGAGTACATGGCCCTGTCCCCTGAATACATGACCCTTTCCCCGAGCACATGGTCCTGCACCCTGAGTACATGGACCTGCCCCCCGAGTATATTGCCCTGATCCCTGAGTACTGCAGTGTGCACTGACAGATGCAGAAAACTATGCTGATATATTCACATCAGAACCACTCTCTGCATCCACAACCCCCACTCCAGGGAAAGGAACGAGGAGGAAGAAGACTCAGTAGGTCACATGATCTGCCAGAAGACATCAGAAGAAAAGCATAGAACATTGCCAGAAGTGGGGTAGGAGGGTCTCTGCCCTACAGACCATCTCTGCCGTGACTTTAGCATAGGCTGCCCAGGACGTAGCCACAGATCTCGTTAAATGCCAGATCTGATTCCCATAGGATTGGGAGCACAGTTTGCCAGTTGAAATGGAACAGAGAGGCAACTTTTGGCAAGAAAGATCTCCGAAACGCTTCTGGCTGAAACCACAACAGTGATGAATACTGTCAAGAGGGTAAGGTGATATAAGGAACATGAGGATGGAGGATAGAAAGGAGAGTCCAACACCACTTTCAGAACTAAGGGTAAGTCCCATTTTGGAAAGAGTGGCCTCACTGGTGGCCTAATCTTCATTGCGGCTTGCAAGAATTGCCTCACCATAGCATGATTAGCCCAACGACATTTAGTCAAGGCTGACAGAGCGGAAACTTGAACCCGCAGTGTATTGTGGCTTAAACCTGAGTCCAGAGCTGATTGCAGGAAATCCAAGACGTTTCCTACTGTTGGATTATCCAACTGCCAGCCTTCTTTTGCTGCCATGGAAAGACTTTATAATAAGTGCTCTTCGTGAAAGGTTTGGTGGCCCATACCAGGGATTCGACTACTGGTGCTGAAAGTTGCAATTGCTGCAACCGTTGCCTTTCAATTTGCAGACCGTCAAACTCAATCGTGCCACGTTCGGGTGGACATGTTCGCCCTGGAGGGAGGTGATCCCTCAACAAGGGCAAGGGCCTCGGAGGCTCCACCAACATCTCCAAGAGTAGCGGGAACCATGGCTTTTTTGTCCACCAAGGCAGAACAGCGATGGCTAGAACCCCTTCTCTGTCTATCTTCCAAAGTGTTTGTAGGATCAACAGAATAGGAGGAAACACGTAAATTGTGCTGAACCACCAAGGGAGTGAAAGAGCACCCTGCCCCAGAGCTTTCTGGTAAAAGTAACGTGTGTAGAATACTGGAAGCTAAGTGTTGTACTTGGACACCATCAAGTGTACTTGTGGAACACCCCACTCTCAAAAATCAAGCCAAAGGTATCATGGATTGACGGAACATTCGTGTGGATCCAAAAACTCCCGGCTCAATCTGTCTGCCCTCCGGTTCTCTGTAACTGGCAGATAAAAGGCTGTCAGGTAATGTAGATGTTGTTCCGTCCCAAGGAAACAGGACTGACAGAATCTTCAGGAGAGAGAGACACTTCGTTGATCCCTGGCGCATGACATAAGACACTGCTGTCCTGTTCTCCATGCGGAGCTTCACTCGACATCCCCTGATTACATGATGAAATTCTTGTAGAGATTTGAACGCTGCTTGCAATTCAAAAGCATTCCAGTGCCCCGGACTCTGAGTTTTCCATTTTGCCTGAACCTGGTGTCCCAAGCAATGGGCACCCCAACCCTTCAGGCTGGCATCGGATGTAATCGTGATCCAATCTCCAGGAAGGAGATCCTTGCCTTTCGCTAGGTTTTGTGGATTGCGCCACCATCTCAAACTGTTCCTGACTAGGTATGGCAGAAAGATTGACTGGGCCAATGACCTCTTGTCCCACTGATGAAGGAATGAATATTGGATGCGCCTCATGTGCCAATGGGTCCAAGTCACTGCCGGAATCAAAGCCGAGAGGACTCCTAGAAAACTGAGACAAGTCTGTACTGTGCAAGAGAATGTAAGCTTTTACATCCTGAGATTCTGAGGACTTATCCACTGCTACCTCTTTAAGGCATGTGGAGCACAATATCTTCTGAGGCATGGCCTGAGAACCACATGCCCAACAGGAACCTGCAGGCGACAACTGTCTGAACTAGTGATGGGCCGAACATCCCCGAGTTCGGTTCTAATTTGAACTTTCGAACATGGAAAAACTTCTAATTCTAACTTAGAAATCAATGCAAGTCTATGAGGGCAAAACTTTCAAAAACAATTGCCCCCTTTTTGAAGGCTTAGATGCCAGTTATTGGCCATACAAAGGGTATGGGGATCTGGGTACTGCCCTGGGGGACAGGAATCAATGCAAAAAAAACAAAACAGTTTTTAAAGGAGCAGTGATTTTAACATTAAAGGGTAACAATAAAAATGAAAAATTCCTTTAAATATCGTGCTTGGGGGGTCGCCTTAACCTTCCTGTATAGTGGCACATCTGTACAATGTATAGAACCTGCTCCAGCAAAACTAAAATTTCTAAAGAAAAAAAATGATTTTTTTTTTTAAAGGGTGCAGTTCCCCCTCCCAAACAATACCAGACCCTTTAGGTCTGGTAGGAATGTTAAGAGGGACCCCATTTAAAAAAATAAAAAGCGTGGGGTTCCCCCCAAAAGTCATACCAGACCCTTAAGGTCTGGTAGGAATTTTAGGAGGGATCCCATGTAAAAAAAACAAAAAAAAAAGTGTGTGGTGTTTCCCCTTAAAGTCATACCAGACCCTTAAGGTCTGATAGGAATTTAAAGGAGTAACCCCACCCCCATAAATGGGGGGAAAAAACACATGAACAGCCCGCCGAACACCCTTACAGTTCATGTGTGCGCCGAACAGACAGCCAGTCCTTCTATACCCATAGAGCGCAGCCTAGGCAAATATCTGCCTCTGTCCTTCTTTAAGAGGGTAGACAGCCCCACATCCAGCGATCCCCGTGCTCGTTGAGCAGCGTGCATTCCATGCTGAAACGCAGCCGCTATCACCCAAGGCTCCGCCCCCTCCACCTCCAGCCAAATGAATTACGGCCCCGGCAGGAAGGGGAGGGACCCTGCACTCCACATTGGAGTGCACGATGCGCAGGAAGTAGATGCCAGCACACTCTCTCTCCCCACCGCGTGCGTTCCACAGCGGAACGCAAACTTCGACCTCTGTACACAGGGAAGAGATCAGACCTCCGCAGCTGAGATCAGTCCACTTCCCGAACCCATATCAGGCGCCATGTGGGTTAACTTCGGCCCACTGCCCAGCACCAGGCATGTCCCATCCAGTGGATTTACCACCCCAAGGAGATCTTCCCCCCAGGAGAGGCTGAACCTGTGGTGGGAAGGGTAAGGCCCATTACATCCATCTTCCCAGGTGTTCTGAGCGAGGACCAAAAAGAACATGTGGAGAGTGGATGGGGGGGGGAATTTATACTCTAGTAAGGGGTGGTTCCGGGTGGAGCCGAGGGCGGAGTTAACCCATTGGTATGCTGACATGAGGTGAGCCAGGAAATATAAATATATATGTTTGTTTTATTTTTATTTTTTATTTATTGACCATAAAAAATCAGGAAAATATATTCTGAACTACTATACACTCCCTGTAATGTACAGAACAATCCAGAATAGCTCTTACCCTGGTGACGCTAAAGTTTTTATCCACAAGAGCCTCTGTGAGACCCAGCCGGCCATTTTTTGGTAGATGCTGAAGGCTGATGATAAGTTTTCCCAGCAATCTGGTAATAAAAAGCATGTACAGTATATTGGCTTATAAAATAATTATAAAAGGCCTAGCACACAAAGGTTATATTTAGGTAGAGCATGGAGTCACTCCTTGGCTGTTATATACTATAGATACTTAAAGCACAACTCCAGGCAAATCAAATCTTAACCCTTGCATTGGGGCTACCCTCGCACTGTAAGGGTTAATGTCCCTCGGCATCCTCACGTCCTATACAGGTATAGAATGTGATGACTCAGGGACCTTAGACTACGGGAGCAGAGGGGGAGCAAGCAAGGATTGTGGTTCGGGTGAGTATAACTTTTTTATTTTAGCTCCCAAGACAAAATGAGCAGTTAACCCTTGCAGTGCCGGGGTAGCCGCACTGCAAGGGTTAAGGTTTGATTTGCTTTAAACAGTCATCTCTCCCTGCTATAATTTCTGTTATTTTTCACCTGGAAGTTTTGCGTGTTTCAGCTCCTCCTGATACATTCTTCATTATATAAAATAATTTTTGTTTAAATCCAGCATGGAGAGTAGGAAATCCTTATAATGGATTGGCCCTTTAATTACATGACAATGCCTCTGCTGAATTGATATTCCAATGTTATCAGCCGTGCCCAGTACTCCTACAGACGCTACAGTACTCCTCCCCCTTATGTAAAGAGAGGTAGTGTTTTTTTTTAGTTCCAGAAGGGAGAATTGGGCAGCTGTGACAACACGTCTTAGGATTTCAGTACAGCAGGAAGTTAGGAGCTCACTGGATTTCTGGCAGGTGCTTTTCCGTTCTTGCGATGCTTTAAAGGGATACAATATGGGGAAACCTTCCCATTATAAAATAAGGAAAAAGGTTGCATCAGCTTACCTGTGCGTGAAAACTTTGCTGCAATTGTAAACCTTGACAGTTAAGACCTCATCAGACACTATTTTTCCATAGTGCGGCCATCTGAAATGCTGTAAAGAAACCCGATCAGATTATGTTAGAGCCGATTAATCATTATACTCTGACATCATAAAAAAAACACGCTATGTGTAAGGAAGTTTATGGTAAGCTTCACCCCTTGCGTACAGCAGGTTCACCAGATACCTATACAATCAAAGGAATGAGTTAAAGATCCTCACCTGCCAATTAACTGGGCCTGCTCGCTGTACAAATGCAAAGACAACATACAGGGGCCCATTTATAAACTATTCTTAGGGCCATTTACCGTGTAAAACAAATGTTTTTAGTTGTCTCCTTATAAGGGAGTGTATTTGTGAATGTTTTTCATGTAATACCACATTATGACCACTAGATGGCAACGATGAACATAGTAAATAACAGGGTTATTCACAAAAGGGTGAAGAGTTTGGAGAAGGCAGGAGAAGTGAACAATCTAGGCCGAAATAGCTGATTTGGAAAAAAAATCTCTAATTCAGCCCACTTTCCAGTTCAGCTATGTTGTCCTATATTGTTCCCTTCTCCTGCCTTCTCCAAGCCCTCCACCCTTTTGTGAATAACTCTGTAAATCTTTATTTCTGATGTGCCTTTAGCCCCATCTAGTGGCCAGACTGAAGAAGGGAAAGCAAGACCACTCTGTTCCTTAACTCAGAAAGAAAGCGGTGTCACCCTCCTGTCTTTGCTGTCTGGCAGAGGTGTATGAATCACAAAAGTGGCTGGACAAAATTACAAATCCTTTGGCAGGTACGACAGCATACACATGTAGCTGTGTGTACAGAGTTAAGCTTTCTATACAATTTTAAAATTTTTCTGTGTATCAACCACATGCAGTTATCAAAAGACCAAACTATTCCTGATAGATATCCTTTAGTCCACAGCGTGATAAAATGGTAAGAGGTTATAAAATGTATGTAGTTCAACCGGCTCGGTCTTCCAGGTAGCCGAGAGCTGCAGAATTACGCAACTTCTGCGACAGTGGAAGGAATGTAACCGGAGGCTATTTTAGTTTTAACAAGTTGTCACTAACTGACCTACCCACTAGACAAATAAACCAAGAAATCACAGTGTGCAGTCTGAAAAAAACAAACGGTTCAAAGTATGATATTTAGCACAAAGGCGATGTCATGCTTTGCAGGTGGGTGAGACCTTGGCTAGACACCAAGAGGAAGTGTCACCGAAAATGAAGAGTATTGCTTTAAAATAAATTCCCCAGTACGTACTTACTACAAAGGATAGGATTTTAGTTTTATTTTCACTAAAATGTTAAAATAAAAGGCAAATAATACAGATCTATGAATTACATTTACAATGTTAAAAATGTATTCGAAAGTAAAGCAAACCTTGCATGAAAATGATTTTCTTAAAGAGACCCTGTCAGTTGATTAAAAAAAAAACTGGAACAAGACACAGTTAAAGTGACACTAAACTCAGGAGTGAAATCTTAACAATACATTCAAATACCTCAATTATTAACAGAAATGTATCTTATTTGTGTATCACTTGGCTGTAGGTCCTCAAATCATCTCTGAATTGGTGCGGACACTGTCCTTCCTTCTGGAGGGGGGCTACTTTTGTTCCCCATGGTCCCTGTGTGTGTTGTAAAGTAGTCACCGCTCCCAGCTCACTCCTGTGATGGAATACAATCTCAATACAAATTAGTAAACTAAACATGAGATTGCACTCCATCCCAGGAGTGAGCTTGGAGCGGTGACTACTTTACAACACACACAGGGACCATGGGGAACAAAAGTAGCCCCCTCCAGGAGGAAGGACAGTGTCATCACCAATTCAGAGATGATTTGAGGATCTACAGCCGAGTGATACACAAATAGGATACATTTTTGTTAATAATTGAGGTACGTGAATGTATTTTTAAGATGTAATGCCTGAGCTTAGTGTCACTTTAACAAGATTCACCTATTGTTAAGGCCATTTTGTATCCGGAGGGGACCTGAGACCCTCTGTTGTCCCTTTAAGTCGAGCATGATTCGCAGCCCCTGAATGCAGGGGGGGAGGGGTATTCCTGCCCTCTTTCCCTTCCTCTTTCCTTCCTTCCTTCCCCCTCCCTTTACCTTTTTTTTAACATCTTCTCTTCTTTTGCTTTTTTTCTTGCTCTTCTATTTCCTTTTTCTTTTTCCCTCCTGTGGGGATTTTGCCATTTTGCAATTAGTCACAAAAGTTTTCAAGGGCCATCCCATCGGAGGTGACAGTATAAAGGGGGAAATTCTTTGTTTTCCCCTTCCTTCCTTTTTCTTTTTTGATAAGGTATTATTGATTCCTCAATGCCACTCCCTATACAGGTGAAACTCGAATAATTAGAATATCGTGCAAAGTTCATTTATTTCACTAATGCAACTTAAAAGGTGAAACTAATATATGAGATAGACTCAATACATGCAAAGCAAGATAGTTCAAGCCGTGATTTGTCATAATTGTGATGATTATGGCTTACAGCTCATGAAAACCCCAAGAACCCCAAATCCACAACCTCAAAAAAGTAGAATATTACATGCAATCAATAAAACAAGGATTGTACATAGAACAATATCGGACCTCTGAAAAGTACAAGCATGCATATGTACTCAGCACTTGGTTTGGGCCCCTTTTGCAGAAATTACTGCAATTACTTTTGCACGATATTCTAATTATTCGAGTTTCACCTGTATATGGGACTTTTTGTAAGAACCTACAGTATTGTGTTTGCACCTTTTGTTATATAGGTGCTCAAGTTTCATGTTGTATGTATACTTTCCTTTTTCATGTTTCTGTCATTGGAAATTACCGTCTTTCCTTATTCTATACTTTCGGTTTTTTTTTGTCTAATTAAAATTCTTGTGAAAGAAACAAATGAAACAGCTGTTCCCCGCATTAGAAGAGCGTTTATACTCACTTGTCTGGTGGCCAGTGTCACCTACCATCGGAGCGTTCCATGGCTCCATTCCATTGCTCCAGTCTCGATCAGAATGTTCAGCAATCAACACTTCAGGGAGTGTCAGATGCCCGTGTCTCCCTCCACAAATCATGATTCCATCCTCCAGCCCCTATATCTCTACAGGACATAGGGACTGGAGCAAGGAACCAGAGAACCAAAGTTAGAGTTCATTTTGTTCCTGGAGATCTTCTGTATGTTGCTGACAGATATCTCACATGAGCATGACGTGTCTCATATGTCATGCTCTTCATATCAGTTACAGCAATCTTGAGTCATAGTTTATCTTCTCTTGTGTTTTTTTATTCTCTTTTTCATTGTCTTTTGGTGTAGTCTTTTGACTCTATTCACAAAGCTTTGACAGAAGGATAACAATGTTCATTTTTGTCATGTGACTGTAATTTTTCAATCTCATTGGACTCAATCTCAATAACTGTCACTTTTGTTGACATCATATATACTTCTGGTTCTATGTTCTGGTTTATCTGAAATGTGCTCTCTGTGTTGTATATCTTGTTAAAATGTAATACAAATAAGAAATAAGAAGATAACTGTCACTTTTTAAAAAAAAATAAGGATATTTTGGGTCAGGTGGGTAATCGCTCGTTCTTTCCATGCTTGGATTTAAGGATTGCCAAACATCGGATCTACCCTGTTTGTTGTGCACCAGAAGGTCTCCCCTTGTGAGTGTATTTGATCTTAAAGAAGAACTGCAGGAATTACATAACTAACCCTTGAAGTAAGGCTACTCCTGCACTACAAGGGTTAAGTGCTCATTTTGGCTCATGGGCTCAAATAGCAAATATGCTCATCTGATTCTTGGTCCCACCTGGCTGCTGCACCGGTCCCCTCAGCCTCTTCTCCCCCTGGGAACTGGTGGTATAAAGACCGCTGATGTCAACACACCTAATGCAGGTCCACTGACCTGCATGAGGCATGAGGATGCCGAGGGAAGTTCCACAGCCAGAGTGGAGATCGAAAGAGCGCTGGCTGTCACGGGACTGAGGATCAGGTGAGTATATCTGCTTTATTTAAGCCCCTAAACCAAAACGAGCACTTAACCCTCACAGTGCAGGGGTAGAGTTCTGTTTTGACTTTTGATGCATACAATAAAATAATTTGCTTCACTATGCTGGTGCTCTTTCTTCCTTATGTTTCTCATTTTATCCTAGTGAGGATTGTCATGGGACTAGGAATAGAGAAGAAGTTGTCCAATATGACCATTTATTGCAGTGTTGGGGTGTCCCTGACTTTGCAGAAACGTCTTCTTGCTTCCTGGTGTGTCTACTGTACAGAACGTGAAGGGAAATCTACTCAATAGGACACAGATGACAAAACAAACCTCACTGGGACTTTACCATTTTCTATATCCAACATTTAAAGAGCCATTTATAAAAATCACTTTATTCTCTGCACATCCCCAGTCATATTTCAGAAATGCACTTCTACTGCCTTGTGAACCTGTCCACCTATAAAAGCCGTTGAATAAGACCAGCGCCAATAACAAAGGACTCACCTCACTAATATCAAATATTGGGCCTGTGTGGACTTTCTTGGTCTTGTGAGTGAAACCTTTAAAAAGAAAGAGTATGATAAGCAAATATCAATGTATATCAAATACCAACACATTTCACTGCCATTTACATATCATTGCGCATATATTAAAAGAGCCATTCAGCTGAATTCATAAAGCTAACACACGAGGATAAAGGTCCTTATGTTCCATAAAGTGACAGTTATTTTCCATTGGGGTTTAGAGGCGAATATTAAAATCTTTATCCTTGTGTTAAAGTTTTATGAATTGAGTCTTTTGTGTTTTGTTTCTACTGTCATCCTGTAGTTTAAAAAGCCCAAGTTTCTATTAATACATCAAATGCAATGTATGTACAATATTATTGAAGATAGATTTTATGGTAAAACCAGAGACAAGTAAGCCTGCCACAAACCTGAACAATTTATACCGACTATGTGCTAAAATATTGCAGAATTGGAGATTGGAGAACTGGAGATTACAAATTCACGTCAAAACGATCAATATATCCAAAGATATAACAAGATAGTTACACTATATTAACAAAAGTATTGGGACTCCTGCCTTTACAGCACATGAACTTTAATGGCATCCTAGTCTTAGTCCGTAGGGTTCAATATTGAGTTGACCCACCCTTTGCAGCTATAACAGTGTCAACTCTTCTGGGAAGGTGTCCACAAGGTTTAGAAGTGCGTCTATGGGAATGTTTGACCGCTCTTCCAGAAATGCATCTGTGAGGTCAGGTACTGATGTTGGAGGAGAAGGCCGGGCTCGCAGTCTCCGCTCTAATTCATCCCAAAGGTGTTCTATCAGGTTGAGGTCAGGACTCTGTGCAGGCCAGTCAAGTTGATACACCCCAAACTCAGTCATTCATGTCTTTATGGACCTTGCTTTCTGCACTGGTACGCAGTCATGTTTGAACAGGGAGGGGCCATCACCAAACTATTCCCACAAAGTTCAGAGCATAAAATTGTCCAAAATGTCTTGGTGTGCTGATGCCTTAAGAATTCCCTTCACTGGAACTTAGGGGCCAAGCCCAAACCCTGAAAAACAACCCCACATCATAAATTGACCGTGGAATATTTAGTAGCAAGGAAATTTCACGGAACACCTGAATCCAATGATTTGGAAGGGTGTTCCAATACTTTTGGCAATATAGTATATCTTGACTTGACTTTTCCTTTAAATGTTATCAGGTTTCCCATACCTTTCTGCCTCAAAAAGCCTCCCTAATGGTCCTCTTAGGTGATGGAAGGCCTAGCTGACCAATAGGGAGGCTCCAAAGTTGGGTGGGGGGCTGGGCCAACCTAGACTGTAAAGGAAAAGTCACGTTTTGAATATAACATCAGGTGCCTGTAGCTCTGGATGTACACATTTTTATTCAAGTGTTTTTTTTTTTACTGATAGTTACCTTTGCTTATGCACTTTGTTTCCAACAATTCCTCCGTTTGAATTGCCCAGGCTTGTGACAGTGCATGTATACCCAAAAAAGTCATATTTACTGTCTGCCCCCCCTGGTGTTTTAAATATACCTTTGTTGAAAGCATTTTATTATACCTGTTCGTCCCAACAAAAAACAACCTGTGAATCCTGCCAGAAATCCAGTGGTGTCCTGTGCACTCTGTGGTCTTATCTCTAGTTGTAGTGTGTTCGGTGTTCGTCACCGACATAGAAAAAAGACTGGTTATACCAGCTGAGAGAGGTGAAGAAATGGAACGAGGAAGAATAGAAGAAGGTAGTGGGAATTTGTGAGAGCATCTTTCTAACAATCTTATCTAACATACAGAACATTCTAATGGAGAGGGTTTCATTTCCTCATTGTTGCGGTTAACCTTGATGGAATGTGGATTAGGACAATGGACCACACAAACGGCTGCAGTCTGCCAGAACAAGGGTGTTTTTTTTCTCCATCATACATACTGAAATATGTGTTTTTTTTAGCTTGAGCCCCATTCACACCTGATCGTTTTGTTGAGCGTTTCCCGAAACGCGACAACACGCAATATGAAGAATCCCATTCTTTTCAAAGGCACCCACTTACACATGGACGATGTGATGCTTGTAGCTCGAAAAGGTACATAAGTATTTTTCAGGCAGGGTCGGGCGTTTTTGTCTCAATAAGCTTCAATAGAAGTGGATGAAAAACATGAGTAATGTTCTTTTCTGTGTGATTTAGCGCCTAACAGCCATCTCTTCCCTGCAGTAACTGGCTTTCCATTGGCTAAAGCAGAAACTCTCAATCCTGAAACGCAGGTGAAAAATTCACAAAAAAAGCTTAAAAATCTCCTAACAATGCTCACACTCAAGTGTGAATATAAAATACTATTTAATCCAGTTATTCATTAAAAAAAATCATTGAAGTATGTCTAAAGCCCAAACTTTTTCACGTTAGATAGGGTAGGGGATGGTTTATACCCTTGTCAGGTTCTCCTTTCACTTCCTGTAGAACAACAGGAAGTGGGAGGCTATCTCTCTAAAATCAATTGTTACTGGTACAGGTGTCCCCATTAGAAGATTTCCACTCTATTTCTGTTCTGATGACAACTTACTCTAACTCTGTTTTTACTTACTAGAATAAGTACCTGAATATTTCTTCGTATGAGCCTCCTGTAATCTCCTGTACAGTAGCACTCAGACTTAATGAGGGAGGGGCAGAACTGTAAGCCATTCAGGCTCTGATGTATGCACATCTGGGAATGAATAGAGCTGACAACTTATTAGTGTGTGTTCAGAGCCGGATTTCCCTCTAGGCAATGTAGGCATCTGCCTGCAGGCCCCCTCCACCGAGGGGTGCCACCAGTTTGTAATATATATATTCCCAATGCGACCTTGGGAAAGACCCACCCCAACCTGGTCCCCACCAGGCAGCCGGCAAATATTAATTTATATGAATATGCAGCAGGATGGTGGGTGTAGGGGGGGTTCTTTCTCAAGAAAAAAAGACTATTTTTTCAGATTTCTCTGCCTACAGGCTCATGAGAACTAAATCTGGCCCTTAGAGTGTTGCTGCTTTTTCAGAGTCCAATCAGAATGTCATCAGAAACTGATGGATGAATCATTTCAAACCTTTGGTGGAATGTTTGGGTGAATATTCGGTAGGTGAATTGCCAAGTGAATATTTAATTAATACAACCCTAAGTCTGATAGTAAAAGCCCTAATGCTATACCCGAACAAAACCTAACTTAGACCCTAAATAATGCCTAAAACAAAACTGACCCCTCCTACAGTACAATGCCAGAAGTAGCCAACCTGGAGCCAAGCTGAGCTCAGTCCTGCCCCTCACACCTTACATACCTTTCTATTGGCCTGTGTGGCTACCCATAGGACAATATAGAGACAGGATGTAAGCCTGACTGGCTACCCATCATAGATATAGACCAATAGAGAGACACAGGGAGTAAGCCTGGTAGGCTACCCATCCTAGATATGGACCAATAGAGAGACACAGGGAGTAAGCCTGATAGGCTACCCATCCTAGATATAGACCAATAGAGAGACACAGGGAGTAAGCCTGATAGACTACCCATCCTAGATATAGACCAATAGAGAGACACAGGGAGTAAGCCTGATAGGCTACCCGTCCTAGATATAGACCAATAGAGAGACACAGGGAGTTAACCTGATAGGCTACCCATCCTAGATATAGACCAATAGAGAGACACAGGGAGTTAACCTGATAGGCTACCCATCCTAGATATAGGATAATAGAGAGACACAGGGAGTAAGCCTTATAGGCTACCCATCCTAGATATAGACCAATAGAGAGACACAGGGAGTAAGCCTGATAGACTACCCATCCTAGATATAGACCAATAGAGAGACACAGGGAGTAAGCCTGATAGGCTACCCGTCCTAGATATAGGATAATAGAGAGACATGGACAAACTTGAGCTCAACTTCTTTTGCTGAAGTTCTGAGTTGCTTAATATAGTGGCTTGGTGACCCTGGGTTACTCTAGAGATTATTCAAGCAACTGGAAATTCAGCCGGAATTGACTGAAATTTGAGCCTTGTATGTATACTTTTATTTAACTTTCATGTTTCTCTGGGTCTCCAGGGTAAATAATCTTGTATAATACAGTAAAGCCACTGGAGATCATGCCGGGTTATTCTTCTACTTATGTGAAACAGCAGAATAAGAAGGTCATTATCCATATCTCCATGTCACTGTAACTTTCACTGGAATACCACCTCACTAATGCCAGATATGGCACAACGCACAGTAGAAAACCATAGCTTTATGCAGCTCATTGGCCGAAGTTTAATCATATTCTGTCTGGAAACCCACAAAAGCAACATCATCATAGATAATCCTATACAATCTGATAGAACTGATCCATTGCTCTGCACCTTGCATATCTGTAATAAAATAACCAATCCTATCCTATGATCTGCAGTCTCCTAATAAGCCTGGTCTGGAAGCGATACATGTCTTTAAGGCCCGATCATAAGGGGAGCTGTGCACGAATCCCCTGCTCATCAGAACATCTTGCAATGTAGGAAAAAAATGAAAATACCCATGTTGGTCTATGGGGGGAGGGGGTTGAATGTAAACAGTACTAATAGAATGCAATATTTTTAAATATTTTTTTTGTACATCAGTCTTTGGAAATCACATACATATGGCACCTAGTTTGTTATTTTGGATTATGTGTAATAAATAGGAATAGGATTATGTCTGGGTTTAGATATATTTTCAGGTTAAAGTGGCAGGGGGTTTATTAATAAAAGTTCCTCCCAGCTGCCACATGCACGTCACTAGTTCCCCTAGATGGCGCTAATGAGTATATAAATTCCTAGATGCCAGCGACATCTCGGGGTGCCAGTGCCAGGCGATCCTTTATAAATGAACCTCTAGGTGTCCCCTTGTCCAAATTGTTAAATTCCAGCCAGGGGGTATCCTGGTGAATTTTTCTGTGCATTCTGTATTAGCAGCAGAAAAATGGATGGGACAAACTCTTTCTATGGATGGAACAAACTCTTTCTTTGTTCCAAGATCTCCTATGTTCTATGGCTGCCAGTGGACTCAATGTGTGTCACC